TTCCTCTCTCATCTGGTTCTCACTTCTCCTTTCCCTGCCTAATTGTCTCTCTACTCCTCTTATTCTCTCCTTTCCTCTCCTCTCCTAACTCCTTCCCTCTAACCAGTCTTCATTCTCTCTTCCCCCTCTGTGTCTTTCTCCTCCTTTCTGTTCTCCCCCTCTCTCTCCTTCCATCTATCCCTCCCTCTTTCGCCTTCCTCCCTCTATCTTTACATCCATCTCCTCTCCTGCCCCCCTCTCCCTCCTCCCCTCCCCCCTTTCTCCCTCCGGGCTTGGGTCCTTTCTCCCTGCAGGCTGTGTCCCAGAGAGCTGGCAACCACCAGGAGGTTATTAACCATTAACCAGTCATCAAGCTGCCTGTGTGTGTGTGTGTGTGAGTGAGAGAGAGAGTCTTTCCCAGCCATGCCCCAGACCCAGTCTTTTCTTGTCCCTTCAGCCTGACTGCCATGTCCAAGCTGGGCCTTCCAGTCAGCGCTGTGTAGATTCATTCATCTCCATTACATAATGAGTGGTTACAGGGATGCATAAAGATTTGTAAATCAGTGATTCTGCACAGGCCAATCCTCTCAAATGGAGAACAATTTTGCGTGCCCCTCCAGTTAGCCTTTTGCTTAGCGCCACATAGGAACACACACACACACACACTCACACAGACACGGACACACACAGTCCCACCCCCACGACATAGGAAATCAACACACACTGCCAAACCTTCCACTCCACAACTATACCACTGACTCAACCATTTAAAACATGCTGATGGCTCCACACATCAGAGATACAGGGTACTAAAGGACTTTTCCATCGCTGCACGCATAGCAGCTCTTCTGAGGTCATTGGGAATGTATATGGCGGTATTCTCACACTTACTTTGTGTGTGTGTGTGAGTGTGTGTGTGTGAGAGAGAGTACACAGCTAGATAGTGTGACTGCTATAAGGGTGCAAGGTACCCTTCCAGGTGAGGGGAAGTAACACCTATGTGTCTAGCTATATAAATTGCCTCCTGCAATGTTGGATGTAAATACTTGTAGGATACTCTAGGAGAGACACGCAGTAGGATAAAGTTGACTTTAGACACTGATCTAAATTTAGATTAGTGTTTTTTCCCTCTAATAGATGAGGTTAGGATTTTGGGAGGGTGATCTTTCTCCAAGGCTATTTCTCTATATTTTAAAGGATCAAGGCCAGTATTTACAAAGAGGCCGATTCCAACTTAGGAAATGTACTGCTTTTCCTACGCACGCCTTTCCTACGTACTTCTCAGTAGTTGGTATTCAGATTTACCTTATGCAGGTGCGTAACGGGCTTTGCAGGAGTGGTTCCCTTCCACGCGCTGAATACATTTAATGAATCCACTGAGAATCCTCCTACTTGCGAGCCAACAGATTTTGGCGTGGAGTTTTCATACAATAGGGTTTTCAGTACATTTATTTTAAGCCATCCCTTTAAATACGGTGTACCTTTAATTCGAATTTTGACGACGGACTCACTAGAAAACATAGAGAGAACATGTTCAGAATATAGGGATCAATGAAAAAGTCATCTATGCATATTTCTCTGTTTCAGCATCAACTTGAAACTGGTAGATTTAAAAATAGGTATGTGGGTATTACTGTCGGTGGCTGCCTATAGTGGCTAATATTTAACATGATACAAATTGTAAAATAAAATGGAGAAAAGCCAGAATATATAATTAAAACATTCTAAAGCACACACATCAACTAGGCAGGTTCAGCCCTACAGAAGCCTGTAGCTCGGGTCTACGAATTTCATCCACGCAAATTATGAGGGCACACAATTACAATTCTGAATAATGGAACAGTTATTTATAGCCTACTTCACTGTGGAAAAGGGGCTGCAATACATGTCATGTTGATATGATTTTTTGTTTGCTTCCATATGACTGGTTTCACATTCGTCTCCAGGGATCATAAGGAAAAATCATCTAAAACAATTGCTATGTGAATTTACTATCTCCTTCTCCAAACGGATTACTCATTTACCTAGCTCTTATCAATAGCTCTTATCAATTTAAGTGCATGGAGAATGGTGTTATTTCTATCGGAAAAAATAGAGTAGATGCTGTTTCCACTTGGAACTGGCAGGTTTGCTCGACCTTATTCTTGATTTCCTCACGAGTAAATGTGGTGGAATTATGAGGGACTTAAGTCAAGGTCAGAATACGGTGTATCTGTAGACACCTCCAACACACCTTCATTTCTGTGATCTCCACCCCAAACGAATAGCGGGTGAATAGCATGCTATTCTCATGCTTAAATTCAAGGTCTGAATACGCAGAGAGAGAACAGTGCAGAAAAGGGAATTACGTTCCATTTACACGCCCTTAACTTGGGTCAGAATCGGCCCCAAAGCGTCTCAGAGAAGGAGTGCTGAGTCTTATTCATTGTGATCTGAAAAGGCAAAACTGATCTGGAAGAAACCGAAGAAAACACCCGGAAACGGAGTGAAACAGGGAGGTATTACCTGAACTGAAATGCTCATTTTTGTTTTCCGTTGCAATGAGTTTTGAAATGTTTTGCTGTGCACGGTGTGCCCTAATTAGCATGACCCATGTGTATTTAATTCAGAAGTAGAGCTGTGTGACTGACTGGAGATCAGATCAGTATAGGATTCTACACTGCCCTCTTCTGTCTGACTACCTGACAAACTGATCCATGTTGAAGGGTTCCCAACATTTCATGTAATTAGATGGTGCCAATCTTTCCCATTCAAAAAGTTAACGTTTGTTATTCCTCAACAGTTTGTGGCAGGGGTTGTAACTTTATGTAGGCCAGGGGATGTCCACTTACCCCGTTAATTCTGTTGTTGCTATCCTTAACATAAGCCCTTACGGCATCCGACCGTAAGGCGCTACAGAGGGTAGTGCGTACAGTCCAGTACATCACTGGGGCCGAGCTTCCTGCCATCCAGGGCCTCTATACCAGGCGGTGTCAGAGGAAAGCCCAAAAAATTGTCAAAGACTCCAGTCACCAAAGTCATAGACTGTTCTCTCTGCTACCGCACGGCAAGTGGTATCGGAGCGCCAAGTCTAGGTCCAAAAGGCTCCTTAACAGCTTCTACCCCCAAGCCATAAGACTGCTTAACAATGAATCAAATGGCCACCCGGACTATTTGCATTGACTTTAGTTTATTTATTTTGTAAATATTTTCTTAACTATATTTTCTTAAAACTGCATTGTTGGTTAAGGGCTTGTAAGTAAGCATACTGTTGTATTCGGCGAATGTGACAAATAAAATTCGATTTTATTTCATTTAACCCAGGTTAAAATACTAGCAATGTGGCCTCCCGAGTGGCGCAGCGGTCTAAGGCACTGCATCGCAGGGCTTGAGGAGTCACTACAGACCCAGGTTTGAGCCCAGGCTGTGTCACAACCGGCCGTGACCGGGAGTCCCATAGGGTGGCGCACAATCGGCCCATTCTGTAGGCTACTAAAAAGCCTGATCTAGATTGCACTTTATGAGTGACTGAGTCCAGGCCACATTTAAAAGCAAAGCAAGAGTTAAAGTGGTTTAGTAGAGGTAGGTTATAAGGTGCTTATGGGGTCATCTGTTAGGGGAAGAGATGTGTTGGAGCAAACCATAGGCTACGGTTAAGCTCAGAGGCCCATACACACTGAGGTTGCACAACTGATGAACAACACATTTGACACAATGGTTGGGATGCAATGGATATTTTAGTGATACGGCGGAGAGTTTGCCTGCATAAAACTTTTCACACAATTGTGTGCTGTCGCCACAGCGGTTGCAATTTTGTACAGAAAAACTCTTGGTTGTATTATCACCGCTATGTCAGACGTGTTATGGGCTGCGTGTATACGGGGCCAGAGGTTGCATGAGGACACCCCGAGATTTGAGTGCAACATTCATGTTTTTCTCTGTGCCACCATGTTTTGATTTAAGTAAACCCTTGGCAGAGACTCTTGTCATCTTGTTTACGAGATGCTTTCGTGAGCAAATCCAAGAAAACCTCCATCAGTACTGTAGCTTCTGTTCAGGCCAGGGTCACTGGATCGCTCTGATGTGAGAAAGCCAGTAAGGTACAGCCTCTTGCTGATCCGTGATGCTTTTATTCAGTACGTTAAGAGATTTGATCTGGGTTAGATTCCTGAGCTGATATGCTTAATTGGTTTTCAAATAATATTGTTTTCTAGGAGGTTGCATTTACCACACTATGCATACATGCTGTCCAGAGTTGGCGCACTGTGTGTGTTTGTGTAGGTTCAATGTTTTGTGTGTGTGTGTGTGTGTGTGTGTGTGTGTGTAAAGGTTCAATGGTGTGTGTTTGTATAGGTTCAATGTTTTGTGTGTTTGTGTGTGTGTGTGTGTGTATGATACCTGTCAGCTTGTGTCATAGTATGGTACAAGCCCCCTGTATTCCTCCCTCCAGGAGGGGCCCCTGTCATCGCTCCCTTCATTAATCCATCATCCCTTCCCTCCCTCCTTTCATCCATCCATCATTCCACATCAGCGGTCAGGGTCAGGTTATAGCAGGGCTGTGTTGGAGAACTTACCTGCCCCCTACCGCTCTCTCTCTACACGTATCCCTCGCTCTACCTACCTACCCCCGTTCCCCTCTCAACGTGCCCCCTGCACCCCTCCCTCTCTCCCTCTTTATCCTTCTCTCAATCTGCCCAGAAGCTTCCCTCCTTCCCTTATGTCTTCCCTGAATGAGGGGAGAGGGTCGGTTGAAAAAGAGAGGGGGAGAGAAGGAGAGAGAGATTGGGAGAGAAAGAGACAATACTCAAATGTACGAGATGGAGGGGTGCAGGCAACTCTCTTACATTTGATAGACACAGCAGGCAGGTTTGATAAGAGGTTAATAAAGCTTCCATTCAACACAGACTTCTACTATTATGAGAAGTTTATTCACGGTCGTACAGTATATACACAATACAGTCTATTTACACTGAAGAGGATTTTAAGATATTACACCATAAATTAACACCATCTCACTAACACAGCAGTGAAGTTAGAAAAACCTCCCCTGCTGGTATCAACACTCAGGGTGTGTCCCAAATGGCTTTCCTATTCCCTGTTCATGTAGGGATGTGCACTACTTTTCCTCAGGTTCAGGTTTAACTGGTGGTCAGTCCATCTTAGTGATGCTCCAGAGGGGGAAGTGTGGGGTGTGTTGGGGGGCACCAGAGGAGGAAGTGTGGGGTGTGTTGGGGGCACACAGGGGCTTTTGACTGGGTCCCTGGGGGTTTGGGCCCAAGCTGAGACAGGGTGAGGCATCCTTCCCCCTTCCCTGTGTCTCCTGTCAACATCTCCCAATCTCTCCTGTCCTGTCCTCTCTTCTGCTCCCCCATCTCCCTCACCCCTCCTCTCCTCTCCCTCTCTTCTCCTCTCCCCGTCACCTGAACACTGGGGGCCTGTGAGTGTGTATTCCCCCTGGCCGAGTTCTCTCTACACACACACACACTCTCTATCTCCCCCTCCTTCTCCCTCCCTCCCGCTCTCACACAGAGAGCTGTGATTCTGTGACTGCTAGCCCCTGCCTGGGCCACTGCGGCCGGTGCCGTACAACGGCTACCTTCTTTTCCTCATACTAGTCTCCAGCCTCCCCAGATCCTCGTAGGACTGGTAGAAGAGCTCCAGCTCTCGGGGGCCCCAGCCCCGCCAGACACACAGGCACCAGGCCCTGTTTTCGTTGCGAAAGCCACACACAACAGTGTCCTTTGCCACTAGTGCGGCCTCCTCCAGGGTCCTGGGAGAGAGAGAGAGAGTTGGTAGAGAGAGAGGGGGAGAGAGGAAGAGAGCGGGAGGTATAGGGGAGAGAGAGGGGGAAGAGTAATAGAAAGAGAGAAGGGTGAGATGGGGTTAGGGAGGAGGGAAAGAGAGAGTTAAACATTGAAATGAGTATGTGTGGATTCTTCCTAGAAGTAGCCAGGCTTTACTGAGAAGAGGTTCCCTGGAGGGCTACTGAGGAGAACACACATATGATTTATACCTCCAGGTAGAAGGTGCCCTTAGGCACAGATCTAGGATCAATTTACCTTCCCTAAAACCTGACTAACTCAAAACCTTAGATCAGTGTTTAAAGTGCCATTGACAGGTTAATACATACTTTCCAGAAATGACACAAACAGGTAAATCATACGTCATCCCACTCCTGATTTATGTAGGACATGACACAAGCACTCTGGGAAGAGGGAAGGCTTCTAAATAGCTTGTTGCCGTGTTACGTGCCAAACCAGGCATCATATACACACCCCCATATTATCTTCCTGCCACTGTTGTTTCATGTGTTGTAGCTAACCAAGACTATTATCATCCTCTCTGGTATGCACTGTAATATCCAATACGGATGGTTACATGTAATATCCAATACTGATGGTTACATGCAATATCCAATACGGATGGTTACATGCAATATCCAATACGGATGGTTACATGTAATATCCAATACGGATGGTTACATGCAATATCCAATACGGATGGTTACATGCAATATCCAATACTGATGGTTACATGCAATATCCAATACTGATGGTTACATGTAATATCCAATACGGATGGTTACATGCAATATCCAATACTGATGGTTACATGCAATATCCAATACGGATGGTTACATGCAATATCCAATACTGATGGTTACATGCAATATCCAATACTGATGGTTACATGTAATATCCAATACTAATGGTTACATGTAATATCCAATACTGATGGTTACATGTAATATCCAATACTGATGGTTACATGCAATATCCAATACTGATGGTTACATGTAATATCCAATACTGATGGTTACATGCAATATCCAATACTGATGGTTACATGTAATATCCAATACTGATGGTTACATGTAATATCCAATACTGATGGTTACATGTAATATCCAATACTGATGGTTACATGTAATATCCAATACTGATGGTTACATGTAATATCCAATACTGATGGTTACATGTAATATCCAATACTGATGGTTACATGCAATATCCAATACTGATGGTTACATGTAATATCCAATACTGATGGTTACATGTAATATCCAATACTGATGGTTACATGTAATATCCAATACTGATGGTTACAATCAGCATAAGGCCACTCTGGGGTAAAGGTATTTTGTATTGAAATATATACAGTGGGGAAAAAAAGTATTTAGTCAGCCACCAATTGTGCAAGTTCTCCCACTTAAAAAGATGAGAGAGGCCTGTAATTTTCATCATAGGTACACGTCAACTATGACAGACAAAATGAGGAAAAAAAATCCAGAAAATCACATTGTAGGATTTTTAATGAATTTATTTGCAAATTATGGTGGAAAATAAGTATTCGGTCAATAACAAAAGTTTCTCAATACTTTGTTATATACCCTTTGTTGGCAATGACAGGTCAAACGTTTTCTGTAAGTCTTCACAAGGTTTTCACACACTGTTGCTGGTATTTTGGCCCATTCCTCCATGCAGATCTCCTCTAGAGCAGTGATGTTTTGGGGCTGTCGCTGGGCAACACGGACTTTCAACTCCCTCCAAAGATTTTCTATGGGGTTGAGATCTGGAGACTGGCTAGGCGACTCCAGGACCTTGAAATGCTTCTTACGAAGCCACTCCTTCGTTGCCCGGGCGGTGTGTTTGGGATCATTGTCATGCTGAAAGACTCAGCCACGTTTCATCTTCAATGCCCTTGCTGATGGAAGGAGGTTTTCACTCAAAATCTCACGATACATGGCCCCATTCATTCTTTCCTTTACACGGATCAGTCGTCCTGATCCCTTTGCAGAAAAACAGCCCCAAAGCATGATGTTTCCACCCCCATGCTTCACAGTAGGCATGGTGTTCTTTGGATGCAACTCAGCATTCTTTGTCCTCCAAACACGACGAGTTGAGTTTTTACCAAAAAGTTATATTTTGGTTTCATCTGACCATATGACATTCTCCCAATCCTCTTCTGGATCATCCAAATGCACTCTAGCAAACTTCAGACGGGCCTGGACATGTACTGGCTTAAGCAGGGGACACGTCTGGCACTGCAGGATTTGAGTCCCTGGCGGCGTAGTGTGTTACTGATGGTAGGCTTTGTTACTTTGGTCCCAGCTCTCTGCAGGTCATTCACTAGGTCCCCCCGTGTGGTTCTGGGATTTTTGCTCACCGTTCTTGTGATCATTTTGACCCCACGGGGTGAGATCTTGCGTGGAGCCCCAGATCGAGGGAGATTATCAGTGGTCTTGTATGTCTTCCATTTCCTAATAATTGCTCCCACAGTTGATTTCTTCAAGCCAAGCTGCTTACCTATTGCAGATTCAGTCTTCCCAGCCTGGTGCAGGTCTACAATTTTGTTTCTGGTGTCCTTTGACAGCTCTTTGGTCTTGGCCATAGTGGAGTTTGGAGTGTGACTGTTTGAGGTTGTAGACAGGTGTCTTTTATACTGATAACAAGTTCAAACAGGTGCCATTAATACAGGTAACGAGTGGAGGACAGAGGAGCCTCTTAAAGAAGAAGTTACAGGTCTGTGAGAGCCAGAAATCTTGCTTGTTTGTAGGTGACCAAATACTTATTTTCCACCATAATTTGCAAATAAATTCATAAAAAATCCTACAATGTGATTTTCTGGAATTTTTTTCTCAATTTGTCTGTCATAGTTGACGTGTACCTATGATGAAAATTACAGGCCTCTCTCATCTTTTTAAGTGGGAGAAATTGCACAATTGGTGGCTGACTAAATACTTTTTTCCCCCACTGTACACTACCGTTCAAAAGTTTGGGGTCACTTAGAAATGTCCTTGTTTTCCATGAAAACATACATGAAATTAGTTTGAATAGGAAATATAGCAAAATGCATAGGAAAATGTAGTCATTGACAAGGTTAGAAATAATGATTTTTAATAAAAATAATTATTGTGTCCTTCAAACTTTGCTTTCGTCAAAGAATCCTCCATTTGCAGCAATTACAGCCTTGCAGACCTTTGGCATTCTAGTTGTCAATTTGTTGAGGTAATCTGAAGAGATTTCACCCCATGCTTCCTGAAGCACCTCCCACAAGTTGGATTGGCTTGATGGGCACTTCTTACGTACCATACGGTCAAGCTGCTCCCACAACAGCTCAATAGGGTTGAGATCCGGTGACTGTGCTGACCACCCCATTATAGACAGAATACCAGCTGACTGCTTCTTCCCTAAATAGTTCTTGCATAGTTTGGAGCTGTGCTTTGGGTCATTGTCCTGTTGTAGGAGGAAGTTGGCTCCAATCAAGTGCCGTCCACAGGGTATGGCAAGGCGTTGCAAAATGGAGTGATAGCCTTCCTTCTTCAAGATCCCTTTTACCCTGTAAAAATCTCCCACTTTACCACCAACAAAGCACCCCCAGACCATCACATTGCCTCCACCATGCTTGACAGATTGCATCAAGCACTCCTCCAGCATCTTTTCATTTGGTCTGCGTCTCACAAATGTTCTTCTTTGTGATCCGACACCTCAAACTTCGATTCGTCTGTCCATAACACTTTTTTCCAATCTTCCTCTGTCCAGTGTCTATGTTCTTTTGCCCATCTTAATCTTTTCTTTTTATTGGCCAGTCTGATATATGGCTTTTTCTTTGCAACTCTGCCTAGAAGGTCAGCATCCCGGAGTCGCCTCCTCACTGTTGACGTTGAGACTGGTGTTTTGCGGGTACTATTTAATGAAACTGCCAGTTGAGGACCTGTGAGGCGTCTGTTTCTCAAACTAGACACACTAATGTATTTGTCTTCTTGCTCAGTTGTGCACCGGGGCCTCCCACTCCTCTTTCTATTCTGGCTAGAGCCAGTTTGCGCTGTTCTGTGAAGGGAGTAGTACACAGCGTTGTATGAGATCTTCAGTTTCTTGGGAATTTCTCGCATGGAATAGCCTTCATTTCTCAGAACAAAAATAGACTGAAGAGTTTCAGAAGAAAGTCCTTTGTTTCTGGCCATTTTGATTCTGTAATCGAACCCACAATTGCTGATGCTCCAGATACTCAACTAGTCTCAAGAAGGCCAGTTTTATTGCTTCTTTAATCAGCACAACAGTTTTCAGCTGTGCTAACATAATTGCAAAAGGGTTTTCTAATGATCAATTAGCCTTTTAAAATGATAAACTTGGATTAGCAAACAACGTGCCATTGGAATACAGGACTGATGGTTGCTGATAATGGGCCTCTGTACGCCTATGTAGATATTCCATAGAAAATCAGCCGTTTCCAGCTACAATAGCCATTTACAACATTAACCATGTCTACACTGCATTTCTGATCAATTTGATGTTATTTTAATGGACAAAAAAATTGCTTTTCTTTCGAAAACAAGGACATTTCTAAGTGACCCCAAACTTTTGAACGGTAGTGTATATATTTTTCCTCTGCCACACAAGCACACACACACCCACAAAAGTCTTCCTCAGACAGAACAGTCAATTGCTACCGGTATCGCCATAGAAAATGATGAAGACTTTCCTAATGCCCTATAAAGCCTTTGTAAGTTGTAGTTTGTTTCAAATGGGATGAAATCGATAAACAGAGACTGTGTTCGATAGCATTACATCTGTGGTGCATTGTGGGTAATTGTGACTGACTGATCTACAAATCATAATGACTAGTTATTTAGGATGCAAGGTGATTTGTAGATCAGTCAGTCTGCAGTCTCCAGTTGATGTGAAACAAGCTCAGAATCTGCAGCGTGTTTCTCACAGCCTTTCATGTCTTCCTGCGACCCTATGGCCTGACCTCAACCTGTCCCTGGTGCTACTAGTCTAAACGGGATCTGACGTCAACCTATTCAAGTTGAAATTTAAATAGTTATGGCAAGGGTTAATGTTATTGTTAAAGTTAAGGTTTAGGTAGGGGTAGGGGTTAAGGTTAGGGACGTCCTAAGGATCCCGGATAGCACCAGCCCCCTGACAACCACTGCTTATTAAGGACCCCGGCTTTGGGTGGCCCTTTTATTGCCTGCTGCTAAAAGCTAAAACCTCACGCACGCACACGCATGCACTTCAGACAGAAGTCCTTTTCTGCTGTACCTAAAACAGCTGCTGGGACGTTTATAGGAATAATTACAGAGTGGGGAAAACCCTGTTAAGCACATGATGAGGGATCTCTGCTGGGTCTTTATTGAAGCTGAATCAGCAAATTAATCTCCAGCTCCTTTTCTTGCTGTGCCAGAAAGGGTGTGCGTCCCAAATTGCACCTTATTCCCTATGTAGTGCAATACCTTTGACCAGGGCACTACATAGGGAATAAGGTGCTACTACATATGGAATAGGGTGCCATTTGGGATGTAGCCAGACAGTTCTGCTGGCCTACTTTGCCACAGCTGATAAATAGGTCCCACACTCCACAGGTCTGTAATGAGGCCTATTTTTCACTGTAACACCATGGCGGGATCCCAAATGGAACCCTATGCCCTACATAGGTGCTCTGGTCAAAAGTAGTACACTATATAGAGCAAAGGGTGCCATTTGGGATGCATCCCATGGCTTGGACGGGGCAATGCGCCGGTGTTACGGTAGAAAGACATTGCCCTGACATTTGGTTCAGTCCCTGTATTCAAATAAAAAATCTAATAGCAAAATGATCCTTAGTATGACCTTCTCCCCCGGCTTAGACAGGGCTTAGACTGTAATGGGTTAATCAATGGAGCACTTTCCCACACTGTTCCGTTGGATGTTATAATTGCTTTGGGGATTCTTTGTGCGGTGCAATCTATCTGAAAGTGACTATAGTTTACAGCAGGTGTCTTCAACTGCACTCCTGGAGACTGGAGGGTTGCTGTTCTGCTTCCCGGACAATGGCGAAGGTGTAAAAATATATGGAGGAATGCAGATATGACATCATCATTTGAGCACTATCCACAGACTTTAAACTACCGCGCGCAATGGTTCAATGTGCCTATAAATCAGCACAATCTACTTTTAGTTTTTTTCAAATTGGAGCTAGAATTGGGATCATGTATACTGTGCCAATGCCAATACAAAAAAAGACTAAAGGAGAACACTGTACAATACTGTGAACTTACCAAATGAGGCACTTGTGGTAAGTACATGGAGGCCGTCATCTTTATGGACCTTGGCCATTAAGGCCATTGATCGGCCAGACAGGCCACACAGCCACACAACTGGCTTCCCAGCTCTAGGTCAGCTGTCTATCCCACACTATCGTGCCGACCCAAACCGTACTGTGTTGGCTCAGACCGTCTTTTCCAGCATTGTTCAAGCTACTATGAAGCTACTATGGTGGATACGTAACCAGGCAACCAGGCCAGCCCAGTAAGGCTCTGCTTGGCAGTGTGTCAAGGGTATCGCTGAAGGAGAAGCAGTAGTCAGCAAACACTGTGGCCCTGGAAGGCTAGGAATGGGAAACCTGCTTTAGAGCATGATCTCCTGCGGTAGCCTCTACCCTTGGGTACTTCCTATGGATCCCAAAGGAAATACCATATAAGCCAGTGCTACTCAACCCTCTTCCTGGAGATATACCGTCCTGTAGGTTTTCAGTCCAACCCTAACCTGACATACCTGATTCAGCTAGTTAAGGTCCTGGTAAGCAGCTAATAAACTAATGTGTGCTAAATAAGGGTTGGACTGAAACCCTGCAGGACGGTAGAGCTCCAAGAACACAGCCCTGACCTAGCTTAGGGCAAGGGAGGAATATTACGATATCACAATACCTATCCAGACTTCTCAGATTTAAAAGCAGTGTCTAGGGGGTGCGGCTAGGTGTGGCTTTATAACTGGCTGTTCCATCAGCATGGTGGAAGCTGATTGGACAGAGTGTACACACCTCACTGGCTATCAAAAAGAATAGATGCATCTCAAATTGTCCCATGTAGCCACTTTAGACTATTGAGACACAGCCTTCCTGACAGGATATGACCTCACCCGTAAGAGGAAGTTCCAGGGGGCCTGAGCACAGCGATGACACGCCCCCTGAGCTGTCCTGTCTGCCGCTGGACCTCGATCACCATCACGTCACCACCACTCCTGGAACACAACACAGTAGTGACTAAAGATCTCTTGTTGGCACAGTCAAATAGCTAGTGTTCCAGTTGGGTTGACCACAAAGATTCTACTCATTTGGATTTGATTGGTTTTACTGTGATTCAAATCACTTTCTGCTGATTCGAGTATTGGCAAAATAATGACAAAGCAGCCCAAAACGTGTCTGCTGCAGAGGGACAAGACAAAGCCAAGATAAAATGAGTTTTGATCAGTCATTAAAATATATTGGCTCACCATTTACTAAAAAGTTATCAGATGGAGAACAAGCTATAGCTGACTAGCGTTACCAGCGAACGTTAGCAATCATGGTTACTTAGCAAATTTGTCATTTTTATGTTTTAAATATTTGGTTAGCTGAATACTATTTTCTAAATGACGAACCTTATTCAAAACTCAAAATTATGATTTGAGGTCAGACCTAAGTTCCATCTGTTGGCCCATTTCCACCATAAGACTTTATCCCAGTGTTTTTTTCCTAAAGACACAGACCTTAAGTGTTTCAACCTCTGAAGCCTGGCCCAAAACAAGTCTACTCAGGGCCAGAAAAAGACCCTGACATGGCACCAGACTGGGCCATTTGGGACTTTCTCAAAAGCATTTTCCTTCTCAAAAGCAACTGTTTAGATGACTCAGAGGTTGTTGATTCTGCTCTTTACAAGTCTTTAGTGTCAGCCCTAGCTAGAGTGGGACCTGACAGACCAGATGGAAAAGGCACGTGTTGCAGCATCGGATCTCACAAAGCCTGGAGGAGTGTTAACGTCTCAGGAACCATGTAAATATTATATAGGAATCTGTTCTTGACTGTAAAAAAACATGCCCCTATGTCTGTTGTATGACAGTGTGACATGCTGGGTTTGTGTGTGTTGCATTGAGGGTACCTGGGGATCCAAAGGGTTCCATTGACAGCCAGCACAGTTAGGGCCTGCAGGTGGGGGGACGTGGGGCTAAAGGTCGTGGTGGGGTCAGAGTTCACCACGGGGTCAGGGTTGGCTGGGTGGTCCTGAGGCCTCTCTTCCTCCTCAGTGGAAAAAGGCATACTGCTGGAACTAGCTAATGAGCTGAGAGCGTAGGAACTGGATCGGTCCAATCCCAGCGGCTCTGACGAGGGGCCGGAACAGGATTGGTCAAATCCCATCGAAGGGGTGGAGTCAGAGGACATGGAGCAGTAGTCCGTCAGCGAATCCTGGTGCTGGATGATCTGAGTCCCTGCCTCCGCGCTGTAGATCAGCGTCACTTCGCCGTTAGGACACTCCTCCTCCTCCTCCTCTAGACCCTTCCTCTTTGAGTCAAGGTCAGGGGTCGTATCCATGGTAACCCCTGCAGGTCGCTGTACAGTGAACACGTCCCGGAGAGGGTTGGCGTCGCCACAGCTGGAATGATGAAATGACATTTGTATTATGTGTATGTATTGGTCACATGGTCCGTTGCATAGTGAAATTGTGTCTTGTCTGTGTATTAGTTAGTATAGTATATTATAGTATAGTATATTAGTATAGTTGATTCAGTACACAAGACATTGGTTGTATGGGCCATGGTGTTCTAAAGTAAAGTTTGAATATCTTTCCTATCAGTCAAAGCCCTCTCCAGTCACAATCACCACTCACTCACCCATTCTACTGCCAGCGTATACTATAGCTGTGTCCTACCCATTAGCATAACACTACCTCACCCCATCCCCCACCCACGTCTCACACACCTGTACGTGGCACAGAGCTGGTAGGTGGCAGCATGGTAGAGCTGCAGGGTGTTGGTGTGGTCGTCCAGGGTCCACACCGCCTCATCCCCTGACAGACAGAGGCTGGAGGCCAGGGCCTGTATGGAGGATGGGGGGTCGTAGGGGTCCAGACGACGCACCGCCTGGAGGGTCCGGCAGTTGATCACCAGCAGGCCTGGACCATGGGAGTACCACAGCTGGGAGGAAGAGCAAGAAGGTGGAGATAAGACTTACACTTTTTGATAACCATTCATATTACCAGAGTTTTTCCTGACTACATGACTGTAGTTACTTCATACCCAGTAACATTGTAATAAGGTTACTGGTCTTTCACTACTGTATACAATTATTTACTATTTCATCATTTGACACTGTGGTATACAGGTACAGTGGGGGAAAAAAGTATTTAGTCAGCCACCAATTGTGCAAGTTCTCCCACTTAAAAAGATGAGAGAGGCCTGTAATTTTCATCATAGGTACACGTCAACTATGACAGACAAAATGAGAAAAAAAATTCCAGTAAATCACATTGTAGGATTTGTAATGAATTTATTTGCAAATTATGGTGGAAAATGAGTATTTGGTCAATAACAAAAGTTTCTCAATACTTTGTTATATACCCTTTGTTGGCAATGACACAGGTCAAACTTTTCTGTAAGTCTTCACAAGGTTTTCACACACTGTTGCTGGTATTTTGGCCCATTCCTCCATGCAGATCTCCTCTAGAGCAGTGATGTTTTGGGGCTGTCGCTGGGCAACACGGACTTTCAACTCCCTCCAAAGATTTTCTATGGGGTTGAGATCTGGAGACTGGCTAGGCCACTCCAGGACCTTGAAATGCTTCTTACGAAGCCACTCCTTCGTTGCCCGGGCGGTGTGTTTGGGATCATTGTCATGCTGAAAGACCCAGCCACGTTTCAACTTCAATGCCCTTGCTGATGGAGGGAGGTTTTCACTCAAAATCTCACGATACATGGCCCCATTCATTCTTTCCTTTACACGGATCAGTCGTCCTGGTCCCTTTGCAGAAAAACAGCCCCAAAGCATGATGTTTCCACCCCCATGCTTCACAGTAGGTATGGTGTTCTTTGGATGCAACTCAGCATTCTTTGTCCTCCAAACACAACGAGTTGAGTTTTTACCAAAAAGTTCTATTTTGGTTTCATCTGACCATATGACATTCTCCCAATCCTCTTCTGGATCATCCAAATGCACTCTAGCAAACTTCAGACGGGCCTGGACATATACTGGCTTAAGCAGGGGGACACGTCTGGCACTGCAGGATTTGAGTCCCTGGCGGCGTAGTGTGTTACTGATGGTAGGCTTTGTTACTTTGGTCCCAGCTCTCTGCAGGTCATTCACTAGGTCCCTCCGTGTGGTTCTGGGATTTTTGCTCACCGTTCTTGTGATCATTTTGACCCCACGGGGTGAGATCTTGCGTGGAGCCCCAGATCGAGGGAGATTATCAGTGGTCTTGTATGTCTTCCATTTCCTAATAATTGCTCCCACAGTTGATTTCTTCAAACCAAGCTGCTTACCTATTGCAGATTCAGTCTTCCCAGCCTGGTGCAGGTCTACAATTTTGTTTCTGGTGTCCTTTGACTGCTCTTTGGTCTTGGCCATAGTGGAGTTTGGAGTGTGACTGTTTGAGGTTGTGGACAGGTGTCTTTTATACTGATAACAAGTTCAAACAGGTGCCATTAATACAGGTAACGAGTGGAGGACAGAGGAGCCTCTTAAAGAAGAAGTTACAGGTCTGTGAGAGCCAGAAATCTTGCTTGTTTGTAGGTGACCAAATACTTATTTTCCCCCATACACACATATACATATATATATATATACATACATATATACACATACATACATACATACATACATACATACATACATACATACATACATATATATATATACACACATATACATACACACACACACACACACACACACACACACACACACACACACACACACACATATATATATAGCAATACATTGGCATATCGTGGTTATTGATATATCTCTCTTCGGGCCAGGTAGCAATACATCTATTCCTACCTGGGAGCCACTGTGGACCAGGACCATGCTCCTGACTGGGTAGGGTCTCTGTCTTGGGTCAGAGTCCTCCATCCCAAACATGGTCGTATTGAGGGTGTGAGAACACAGATAGGTCTCTCCTTCTACAGGCATGTCATCCACCAGGGAGTACACTGCCACCAGACCGTCTGACATCCCCATGAAGACACGCGCCTGGGTCTGCATGGGAGGAGACCAGAACGTCAGGTTGGCGGGGTGTGTACATGGAATGGAGAGTGGTTGAAGGGACATGGAGAGCGAGACAGAGAGAGTGAAGATATCAATAACACATCCAAACCACTATGCAGACTGAAAAACTGGATCAAAAGCATGAACGGAGGTGAAAACATTCTTGTTGCTAAGTTAAAATAGTGAGTGGGGGCAGTAAAAAGACTGTTGTATGCACTGCTACAGTAAATAATACAACTAGTAAATCAATCTACTGTACGGTCTTCTAATTTAAATGTAAATATGCGTTTGATTGTGTCGTTCATCATTCCCAACACATATTTACACGTGTAATCCATCTTGTCATACAACCAGGTCAGCGGCTGTTTGCCCCAGAGTTGTTCCTCCCATGACCTCGCAGTCCCCTAGCAACTACCAGCGGTTGTTCTACTGTTGTCCTACAGCGGGGGCCTGACTGTTCTACCTGTACAGCTGACTTCAGTGGATGATGGGTTTCTGGGAAGGAGGGAAAGGGGGCTCCACGTCTGCAGTGTGGGGACCCTGAACAGCTGACGTGTCAGAAATATGTTACATAGAATTATCCAACACTTCTGCGCCCTTCTTCGTGGCAAGCAAATCAAAGTGCCTTGCAGGTATAATGTGAGAGAGCCTTTAGCTCTTTAGCCCCAGACAGACAGACAGACAGACAGCAGGCTCCACTAGGTCAGCCTCAGCACCTGGACTACCCCAGCCACAGGACACTTCAAAGGCCTGAGGGTCTAGGGGTGAAGGGGAGGTCAGGTCAGGGGGCCCAGCCTGTTTAACACTAGAAGTTAAGTTTCAAATTCTCCTACAGCAGGGGTAGGCAGCTAGATTCAGCCGCGGGCCGATTTTTGTCGAAGCAGATGGTGGGGGGGGGGGGTACCTTGATTACACTGAGACATGATCACGTCTCTTTTTTCTTTTTTCTTGGTGGGAATACTTTGGAACAGATTTCCTAAATCAAACACATTTTTAGTACTCTAACTTTTTTTTGGGGGGGGGGGGCGGGGGGCAACAACAAAAATGGTTTGCAGGCTGGTTTTGGCCCGCGAACCTCCTGTTGCCGACTCCTGTCCTACAGAGTCACATGCAGGTAAGACGTTTTGATTTCGGTATAGTATCAGAAAGAGCCGATTCTGAGGTTTCCAAAACAATTCTCAAAATTGAAGAGATGAGCTCTATTTCAAAATATCTATTTTTCCTAGAATAACCGCTGTTCCATGCGCTCCACAGCCCAGGCTACTAAGCAAAGACTAGTAACATAATACAACGTATAATATGCTATTCTGTTCTTCTTCTTATTTCCATATGTTTCTTAAGACCTGCCTAAATGAAATTATAATGGTTGTGATGGATTTAACACTTGAATTGTGGTGTTTCTAGTGGTTTTTCGTTTTTACATATAGCCTACAGTAACATACTAATGAAAATTTCATTATGTTCTTAAAAATAAAAATATTACCTTCATAAACACAACCAAATGATTATTTTTCAGATAGCATATATGAAATCTATTGATTAGACCATTTGAATGTTGACGTCAAAAAGACCCGTCATTGGCTTAGAGCGGGACCGCTCAAGGGCCGCCATTTCTACTGTTAAGAGGACCGTAAAACCTATTTTACCACAGTAGCCGAGTTAGTTAATGACGGTCAGACCGCAAATAAATCACTACAAACGGTCATGGGCTGGTTTCGAGGGCAGTTAGCTTGTTACCGTATTATTGTCAACTGCTGTATTGTTACTGTATAAACACTTTACAGTACAGCAATAAGAGAATACCGATTATCCAGTGTATCAGGGTTACAATGGGGTTTAGGAGATGATGGAAGTGGCCCAACAATGGGTTGGGTTCCCAGAATTCTTTCTCACAGAGATCTATTCAATCACGTATGGTTGTCCAGGGCTACAACAGCAATGTGTATTGTTGGGGTTACTGGTGGACCAGTTAGAGATCTACTGGTCTAGGAGATGATTTGAGACAGGGCAGTAGGGTTGTCATGATAGCAGTATCGTGATAAGTCTCGTGGCAAGGAAACTAAACATGAAGCGGATTAAATATCTAAAGGAAAACAATCCTAATCTTGGAAACAAAGAGCATTATGTTATCGCACAGAGTCAAATGGGTTTACTTTCCAAGCTATACACAATATTGGAATAAAGGTTCCTAAAGGCCAAATAGTTGAGCCTGCTTCATGTTTTCGCCATGGAAAATCCAGTATGGTATTATTGTGAAACTGGTATAATGACAACCCTACAGGGCAGTAGTGTACAGTATCCTGGTCTCTGGCGGGCACGGGGAACAGACAGGTGACTACAGGAGAGTTACCTGGTCTCTGGCGGGCACGGGGAACAGACAGGTGACTACAAGAGAGTTACCTGGTCTCTAGCGGGCACGGGGAACAGACAGGTGACTACAGGAGAGTTACCTGGTCTCTGGCGTGCACGGGGAAAAGACAGGTGACTACAGGAGAGTTACCTGGTCTCTGGCAGGCACGGGGAACAGACAGGTGACTACAGGAGAGTTACCTGGTCTCTGGCGGGCACAGGGAAAAGACAGGTGACTACAGGAGAGTTACCTGGTCTCTGGCGGGCACGGGGAACAGACAGGTGACTATAGCAGGACAGGAGAGCTGTTTCTGGGGCTGGCTCAGTGGACACATCTCCTTTAGACTGTAGATGAACACTTCCTGCTCCTAGAACACACACACAAAAGTAAATACACACACACGCGTGCATGTAGACGCACGCAGACACACTCACAGAAACAAAATTGATTCAGATCTACATAATCTACTCAAGGTGGATAATGTTATAAGCTTCCATTTCATGGGCAGATCAATACTTAAAACATGTTGGCAATTATAATTTTTTATATAAACACCCATTTATTCCCAACGACACTCCCCATACATGTTTTCATTAGACTTTGCATAGCCTCACCAGGCAACGTGACAGCAACAAAACTCACCCTGAGCTTACACACTACAAAGTGAAGGGCACAGGTTAGACTAGAGATTAAAATACTTATGATATGGTGAGAGCACTTGTACTGACATGGTGTCACCATGTACATTGGTTACATTATGAAACCCACTTAAGAAGGCTTATGTCTGAGGTTTTATGTCATGCTGAGTGGCATCCAGTGTTTGGTATTGTTTGGCCAACCTTAGCAGCATCACTGTGTAAACTGTCAGATGCAAAGACAATGGATAAATATAAATATAGGTCATCTATTCTGTTCTACAGTGCCTTTGGAAAGTATTCAGACCCCTTGACCTTTTCCACATTGTTACGTTACAGCCTTATTCTGTTCGCAAATTTATAAAAGAAACCCCTGAAATATCACATTTACATAAGTATTCAGACCCTTTACTCAGTACTTTGTTGAAGCACCTTTGGCAGCGATTACAGCCTCAAGTCTTCTTGGGTATGACGCTACAAGCTTGGCACACCTGTATTTGGGGAGTTTCTCCCATTCTTCTCTGCAGATCCTCTCAAGCTCTGTCAGGTTGGATGGGGAGCATTGCTGCACAGCTATTTTCAGGTCTCTCCAGAGATGTTCGATCAGGTTCAAGTCTGGGCTCTGGCTGGGCCACTCAAGGACATTCAGAGATTTGTCCCGAAGCCACTCCTGCGTTGCCTTGGCTGTGTGCTTAGGGTCGTTGTCCTGTTGGAAGGTGAACCTTCGCCCCAGTCTGAGGTCCTTAGCGCTCTGCAGCAGGTTTCATCAAGGATCTTTCTGTACTTTGCTACGTTCATCAAATCCCTTGATCCGGACTATTTTCCCAGTCCCTGCCGCTGAAAAAGATCCCCACAGCATGATGCTGCCACCACCATGCTTCACCTTATAGATGGTGCCAGGTTTCCTCCAGACGTGACGCTAGGCATTCAGGCCAAAGAGTTCAATCTTGGTTTCATTAGACCAGAGAATCTTGTTTCTCATGGTCTGAGAGTCTTTAGGTGCCTTTTGGCAAACTCCAAGTGGGCTGTCATGTGCCTTTTACTGAAGAGTGGCTTCCATAAAGGCCTGATTGGTGGAGTGCTGCAGAGATGGTTGTTCTTCTGGAAGGTTCTCCGATCTCCAGAGCTCTGTCAGAGTAACCATCTAATTCTCTCTCTCTCCCTTCCATCCCGGAGGACCTGAGCCCTAGGACCATGCCTCAGGACTACCTGGCCTGATGACTCCTTGCTGTCCCCAGTCTACCTGGTCGTGCTGCTGCTCCAGTTTCCATTCTTCTACCTGCAGCTATGGAACCCTGACCTGTTCACCGGACGTGCTACCTTGTCCCAGACCTGCTTTTTTAAACTCTCTCTCTCTACCGCACCTGCTATTTCAACCTCTAAATTCCCGGCTATGAAAAGCCAAGTGACGTTTACTCCTGATGTACTGACCTGTTGCAACCTCTACAACCACTGTGATTATTATTTGACCCTGCTGACCTCTATGAACGTTTGAACATCTTGGAGAAAAATCTGACCTTAATGGCCAGATACTGTTATAATCTCCACCCGGCACAGCCAGAAGGGGACTGGCCACCCCTCAGAGCCTGGTTCCTCTCTAGGTTTCTGCCTAGTTTTTCCTAGCCACCGTGCTCCTACATCTGCATTGCTTGCTGTTTAGGGTTTTAAGCTGGGTTTCTGTATAGCACTTTGTGACATCTGCTGATGTAAAAAGGGCTTTATAAATACAATTTGATTGATTGGTCACCTCCCTGACCAAGGCCCTTCTCCCCTGATTGCTCAGTTTGGCCGGGCGGCCAGCTCTAGGAAGAGTCTTGGTGGTTCCAAACTTCATCCATTTAAGATTGATGGAGGCCACTGTGTTCTTGGGGATCTTCAATGGTGCAGACATTTTTTCGTACCCTTCCCCAGATCTGTGCCGACACAATCCTGTCTCTGAGCTCTACGGACAATTCCTTCGAAGTCATGGCTTGGTTTTTGCTCTGACATGCACTCTCAACTGTGGGACCTTATATAGACAGGTGTGTGCCTTTCCAAATCATGTCCAATCAATTGAATTTACCACAGGTGGACTCCAATGAAGTTGTAGAAACATCTCAAGGATGATCAATAGAAACAGGATGTACCTGAGCTCAACTTCGAGTCTCATAGCAAAGTTGTCATTCTGAGGTATTGTGTGTAGATTGCTGAGGATTATTTTTATTTTTAAATCAATTTTAGAATAAGGCTGTAATGTAACAAAATGTGAAAAAAGTCAATGGGTCTGAATCCTTTCCGAAGGCATTGTATACTAATCGTCCATAGGGAACCCAGTGTTAATGATTGTTTGGACACATATTCACTACCAAATTGTCAAAGACTCCAGCCACCTAAGTCATAGACTATTCTCTCTGCTACCGCACGGCTAACGGTACCGGAGCGCCCTCTTTTACGCTGCTGCTACTCTCTGTTTATTATCTATGCATAGTCACTTTAATAACTCTACCTACATGTACATATTACCTCAATTACCTCAACTAACCTGTGCCCCCGCACATTGACTCGGTACCGGTACCCCCTGTATGTAACCTCGCTATTGTCATTTTTACTGCTGCTCTTTAATTATTTGTTACTTTTATTTCGTATTATTTTATATTGTATTTTTTGTGAATATTTTTGGTATTCTTTCTTAAAACTGCATTGTTGGTTAAGGGCTTGTAAGTAAGCATTTCACTGTAAGGTCTACACCTGTTGTATTCGACGCATGTGACAAATACAATTTGATTTGTTTGGCCGACCCGAAACCCAGTGTTAGTGATTGTTTGGCTGACCCCTACCCCAGTGTTAGTGATTGTTTGGCCAACCCCAGTGTTAGTGATTGTTTGGCCAACCCCAACCCCAGTGTTAGTGATTGTTTGGCCAACCCCAGTGTTAATGATTATTTGGCCAACCCCAACCCCAGTGTTACTGATTGTTTGGCCAACCCCAGTGTTAGTGATTATTTGGCCAACCTCTGTGGCGGTCCATAAGGTGTTGTCCATCTTCATCTGACAGCTCAGCCTGGATCCTGGACACGGCATCCTCTTCACCTCTACCTGACCCTTCTCTACGTTCACCACACTGTAGTTCCTATAGAACAACACACATTCACTACCACACTCTAGTTCCTATAGGACAACACACATTCACTACCACACTGTAGTTCCTATAGGACAACACACATTCACTACCACACTGTAGTTCCTATAGGACAACACACATTCACTACCACACTGTAGTTCCTATAGGACAACACACATTCACTACCACACTGTAGTTCCTATAGGACAACACACAGGTATTACACGCATTCACTAATCGCAGAGATTCTAGAATAATAATAATAAGCCATTTAGCACACGCTTTTATCCAAAGCGACTTACAGTCATGCGTGCATACATTTTTGTGTATGGGTGGTCCCGGGGATCGAACCCACTACCTTGGCGTTACAAGCGCCGTGCTCTACCAGCTGAGCTACAGAGGACCACATAGAACACACACACACACACACACACACACACACACACACACACACACACACACACACACACACACAGTCCAACAGGTCATACAGAGACACAATACACACCATTTAACCGTGTTACCCAGACACAGAGTTAGATTGAATACTGTCTTTTCTCCTCCTTCCCCTGGCGGAGTAGAACCTGCTGACAATTATCCTGTCATTCTCATGGTCAGTTCCCATGCTGGAAGCCCTGGCGCTATACCTCTATGAGGGGGTATTAGAATTACAAAGGATCTCTATGGGGTTAACAGCAGGACAGCTGCAGGCAATAGCAGTCATTAGCACCAGCTGTATGGAGCGATGAAAGCTGCCTTTATCGTAGTGAGATTATCTCCCAGTCCCTAAACACACACAGTCACACACAGGGGGAGAGCAACACTAAAGCAATTACTTTCCACCTGGGAGCCTTACTACAGGACAGGAGTGTGTGTGTGTGTGTGTGTTACTCTCATAGAGGTATGTGCAGAGTGTGTGTGTGTGTGTGTGTTACTCTCATAGAGGTATGTGCAGAGTGTGTGTGTGTGTGTGTGTGTGCGTGTGTGTGTGTGTTACTCTCATAGAGGTATGTGCGTGTGCGTGTTACTCTCATAGAGGTATGTGCAGAGTGTGTGTGTGTGTGTTACTCTCATAGAGGTATGTGCAGAGTGTGTGTGTGTGTTACTCTCATAGAGGTATGTGCAGAGTGTGTGTGTGTGTGTGTTACTCTCATAGAGGTATGTGCAGAGTGTGTGTGTGTGTGTGTGTGTGTGTGTGTTGTACCTCCCCTGCTCTTTAAGAGACAGTCCAAGCATAAGCAGCTTAAATCCCCAAACCTCCTGTAGCTCAATTGGTAGAGCATGGCGCTTGCAACGCCAGGGTTGTGGGTTCGATTCCCACGGGGGGCCAGTATGGAAAAAGTATGGAAAACGTATGCACTCACTAACTTTAAGTCGTCTGCTAGATGACTAAAATGTCAATGTTAAATACACCCTCAGATCCTCATGAAGTCTACACTGAGACTCTCTCTAAGGCCAAAACATGCAAAAAACGTGCCACTGCCAGCTCAGTCCCATTTTGTGGAAAACCTCTGAAATCCACAGACGAAGAGAAACAAATAAAGTACCAAACTGACACACTAACCTGTCGTCCTTGTTCCCATCCCAGAAGACAGCGCTGTGTCCCTGCAGGTGGGACAGGAAGAGCTGGGAGTGTGTGTCACAGGACAGCAGGTACCTCAGACACGGGAAACTGGGCTCCTGCATCTGCCTCACACACTGCATGGCCAGGGGTCTCTGGATCAAGAGAGAGACACACAGTCACTATGTCATACTGTAAGCTAGGGTTCACCAACTGGTGGCCCGTGGGCTGGTGATTTTATTTGCGTCCCCAAAGTTTTCTGAGAAAAAAGAATGTTAGACATAAAAGACCGTAAAAACACCAGCAAATCAGTGATTTACATTTAGGAAATATGTTCCAAATTATTCCCATGCATAATAGAGAGATAAACTATATATACAAATGTATGTGGACACCCCTTCAAATTAGTGGATTCGGCTATTTCAGCCGCACCCGTTGCTGACAGGTGTATAAAATCGAGCACACAGCATTGCTATCTCCATAGACAAACATTGGCAGTAGAATGGCCTTACTGAAGAGCTCAGTGACTTTCAATGTGGCTCAGTCATAGGATGACACCTTTCCAACAAGTCAGTTCGTCACATTTCTGGCCTGCTTTAGCTGCCCCGGTCAATTGTAAGTGCTGTTATTGTGAAGTGGAAACATTTAGTAGCAACAACTGCTCAACTGCGAAGTGGCAGGCCACACAAGCTCACAAACAGGACCACCAAGTGCTGAAGCACGTAGTGCGTAAAAATCGTCTGTCCTCAGTTGTAACACTCACTACCGAGTTCCAAACTGCATTATAGTGGTGCGGATGTGTCATCACACTTTCCTATTTCTTCTGACAGAAAGGACGATTTAAAAAGAGCATATCCAAGCCAGCACAGCTCGGCTAACTAGTGTGAAAAGTGTATTGGCATCCCGGCCCACAGTCCCTCACCTTCTCAGGCTTAGTGTCCCAGCACTCGATCATCAGGCCGTGCAGACAGTGGAACTGGACTTCCTCTGGGCTCCCCAGGGCCGGACGGATCCCTTTAGACAGCTTCTTAGCTATCTGGAGCTGGTGCTGGCCCAACGCAGGCCTACAACCTGACAGCAACTCATACACAACCATCCCATACGAGAACATATCCACCTGAGTGAGTGAGAGAGAGGGAATGAGAGATTGATTTAATATGTTATCTACACACTGTACAAAACATTAAGTACACCTGCTCTTTCCATTATATAGACTATCCAGGTGAAAGCTATGGTCCCTTATTGATGTCACTTATTAAAATCACTTAAAATCAGTGTAGATGAAGGGGATGAGACAGGTTAAAGAAGGATTTTCAATCCTTAAGACAATTGAGACATGGATTGCGTATGTGTGCCATTCAGAGGGTGAATGGGGCAAGACAAAACATGTAAGTGCCTTTGAACGGGGTATGGTAGTAGGTGCCAGGCGCACCGGTTTGTGTCAAGAACTACAACGCTGCTGGGTTTTTCACGCTCAACAGTTTCCTGTGTGTATCAAGAATGGTCCACCATCCAAAAGACATCCAGACAACTTGACAACTGTGGGAAGCATTGGAGCCAACATGGGCCATCATCCCTGTGGAACGCTTTCGACACCTTGTAGAGTCCATGCCCCGACGAATTGAGGCTGTTCTGAGGGCAAAAGGGGGTGCAACTCAATATTAGGAAGGTGTTCTTAATGTTTTGTACACTCAGTGTTTATATATCTATATTGATTTAATTGCTTTGCCAATAAAGCTTCTTCAATTGAATTGAAACGCACACACAGCAGTCATCCCATTGTTATAATCAGAGTCTAATGTTATCTATGAAGGCCATTCAGCTTGGTGATGGAACACAAAACAGCATATTTTCAGTCCAAGAAATAGCCCAAGTTGAATTCCTTTCTATGAATGGCCATGAGCTTGAGATGCACAGCCCACTGTGGCTGTCTTCCCAGCGTATATTTAAAGCAGCGCAGACAGATGGGGCCAAAAAGCACCGGAGTGGTGAGTTTCCACGCTCTGTTAGCGCTACGGTAGCAGCTCTGGCTCCTCGCCATGATGACATCACTTGGCAACTATTCTGAGTATGCTCAACGTCCGTGGTACTCTGCGTCAGAGGGGCTGATGTAAGGGCCATGATATATTCTCTATGGTATATTCTTATAAGGCACCCTCCCAGTCTGTCATCAATCTCTATCATTGGTATGACAGGGGAAATCCAACGATGCCAAAGAAAATATGGTTTGTTGAATATGATACTATTTATATTACACACTATTTATGTATACCCCATTTATAGATTAGCTAAGTACACAGAATGTCTGGTATTCCACTTCTGTCTTTCCATTTTAATCTCTCCCTCTTTTTCCATCTTTCCATTTTACTCTCTCCCTCACTGTCCATCTCTCTCTCTACCTCTCTCTGTCTTTCCATTTTACTCTCTCCATCTCTCTCTCTCCATCTCTGTCTTTCTATTTTACTCTCTCCATTTCTCTCTCTCCCCTTTACTCTCTCCATTTCTCTCTCTCCCCCTCTCTCTCTTTCCATTTTAATATCTCCCTCTCACTCTACCTCTATCTCACCATCTCTGTCTTTCCATTTTACTCTCTCCATCTCTCTCTCTCTCTCCCTCCCTCTCCCACCCTCTCTCTTTCCTCACCATCTCTTCCTGCAGTATTACAATAACTAAATCCTGAAACCTCATTTGAAGTCAAATCAAAGAGCAACCAAATAGGCTGAAAGTATGGTAGGAGGGATATGATTGGCTGAGAACAGCAGAACAGGGTCAGAGTATTGACATCAGGGTTTAAAGTCACCTCTCACTTCCCTTTGAAGGGATCCTCAATTGAGTTGGAGGGTTAAAGGAGATTTAACCCCATGGAAAAACAGTCAAACCAGTGTGTGTGTGTGTGAGTCCAACCACTTAAAACCCCTGCTAAGCCAGCCCAGACCCCCTAGAGAGAGTGGAGCCCAGAGATGGTAGACAGCCATGTTGGAAAGGCTCATTAAAATGAGGACATAAAAGCCCATAGGATTAAAGTACACAGAGACAGAGTTGGTTGGTTGGCTTCATACCGTAGTTGGCCAATTCATGGTTGGCTAATATATATCAGAATGGGAGTCGATTGGCTGATGAGCAACCGCAGAGGGAGAGCTGATTGGATAATTAATACCAGGACGAGAGATGATTGGCTAATGAGCAGAAAAAGCAGGAGCTAAATTGGCCACCTAACCAACACAGAGGCCAAGTTGAGTAAATTCCAGTATACTATAGAATATATTCCACAAGAAACCTGCCATTTACGGGAACACTTCAGACGGGTAGGCTATGGGACATTCCTGTACGTCCAGTACAGTCAAACAGGCATTAGGGAATGAATGCCTTAGTCATATACATGTGGTAAATGATACACACTACATGCTGTAGGGACACATACTGTGGACACATATGGTATCCAGACATACTGCACAGTAAAACACACACAGATCTAATGTTCTTACCGTTGACTTACAGCAGCACACGTTACTAATCAGACACTAAAGGGACATGCCCAACAGAGGAAGTGACCAGTCATATTAACACACGGCCACCTTCCCATAAATCCACACAAACTACGATCTGACTCTACTCTGTGGTCAGAGCCTTTTCTCTTAGGACCGCATACCCACATAAAACAGGCGCTGTATATCGTGTAACATAGGGACATACTAATTATATAAGTTTACACCGAGTGTACAAAACATTATGAACACCTGCTCTTTCCATGACATAGACTGACCAGTTGAAAGCTATGATCCCTTATTGATGTCACTTGGTCAATCCACTTCAAATCCGTGTAGATGAAAGGGAGAAGACAGGTTAAAGAAGGATTTTTAAGTCTCGAGACAATTGAGACATGGATTGTGTATGTGTGCCATTCAGAGGGTGAATGGGCAAGACAAAAGATTGAAGTGTCTTTGAACAGGGTATGGTAGTAGGTGCCAGGCACACCGGTTTGTGTCAAGAACTACAACGCTGCTGAGGTTTTCACGCTCAACAGTTTCCTGTGTGTATCAAGAATTGTCCACCACCCAAAGGACATCCAGCCAACTTGACACAACTGTGGGAAGCATTGGAGTCAACATGGGCCAGCATCCCTGTGGAACGCTTTCGACAACTTGTAGAGTCTATGCCCTGTTCTGAGGGCAAAAGGGAGGGGGGGGTGCAACTCAATATTAGGAAGATGTTCTGAATGTTTTGTACACTCAGTGTTTATAGATTCTGCATGGAATTAAATAAATAATGTAAATATAAGTCAGGCACGTTACCCTAAATGATACAGTCAGTAACATTACCCTAAATACAAGGAAATGTTAGTCAGTAACTTTACCCCATACCACCACAGTAGAACGTTATACTAAAACAACTGAACCATGTCTATAGAACACATAAAGACAGTTTCACCGTCGTTTGAAGATGGTAGTGAGTCCCTGTTGGGACTATTCCATTGGTTCCATTGTACCAGGCAAACTAAATCAAGTACAGAGGAAGTATTTGTATGTATTAGAAGTATGTAGTTGACCCCAGGTGTGGTAGGCAGTACCTTACATTTCACATTGACATTTTAGGTATTAAGCAGACACTCTTATCCAGAGCGACTTACAGGAGCAATTAGGGTTAAGTGTCTTGCACATCGACAGATGTTTCACCTAGTCGGCTCGGGGATTCGAACCAGCGACCTTTCGGTTACTGGCCCAACACGCTTAACGGCTAGGCTACCTGCCACCATAGACCTCCTCATCATCTACCTTCTCATCATAAACGATGCCTGGGCGTATCTCGGGGGCCTGGTATCCCGGCGTGCCCTCCACCCCCAGTGCCCCCTCGTGGAAGGACTGGCGCGAGATGCCGTAGTCCGACAGCTTCATATTCACCGGGTCACACACCTAGGATGAGACAAATAATGATTATACCATTTTTACTACGGGGAGGGCCAAAACACTTCTGGTCTTCATCCTCTCCTAATCAGGGACTGATTCAGACCTGGGACACCAGGTGAGTGCAATTAACTACCAGGTAAAAACAGAAAGACAGAAGTGTTTTGGCTTTCCAGGACTGGAATTGAACAGTCCAGGCTTAGGGGCTAGGGAATAGTGGCTAGGGGTCGATTTGGAATTCAGCCCTTCATACTAGTCACCTACCTCCAGGGACCACACCAGGATGTTGTCTGACTTGAGGTCACAGAAGATGATGTTCTTCCTGTGCAGGTAGGCCAGCCCTGCTGCGATCTGATAGGCTGCCCTGAAGGTGAGCATGTGACCCAGGGGCATGTACCTGGAGCCTGATGGGGAGGGAGAAGGGTGGAGTTAAAAGGGGAAGTTGGAAATGTTTTCAGAACTTCTGTAGAGAAGATTTTTTTCTCTCTCTCTCTCTCTCTCTGTCAGTCAGTCAGTCAGTCAGTCAGTCTTTGTCTCTCTCTCTCTTTCTCACTCTTCGTACCTTTATGTCGGTCCTCCAGCACAGTGTTGAGGCTGCCCAGGGGAGCCAGCTGCAGGGCGAAGCAGAGCGGGTGGATACTGATTCCCACCAGGGCCACGATGCATGGGTGCTGCAGGGAGTGGAGCATGCTGGCCTCCTGGCGGAACTCTGAGAAGCTCCGGCACGCGTCCATGGACTGGAAGTGCTTCATCATGGTGTCTGGTGGAGGGAGGGGGGTCAGGAGAGGAAGAGGTGAGGAAGGGAGGAGAGGAGAGATAACAGTCACACATCAAATCAAATTGTATTTGTCACGTGCCGAATACAACAGGTGTAGACCTGGGGGGGACATCATGTCTCGCTCCATCCACCAACGCCACGTTGCACCACAGACTGTCCAGGAGTTGGCGGATGCTTTAATCCAGGTCTGGGAGGAGATCCCTCAGGAGACCATCCGCCACCTCATCAGGAGCATGCCCAGGCGTTGTAGGGAGGTCATACAGGCACGTGGAGGCCACACACACTACTGAGCCTCATTTTGACTTGTTTTAAGGACATTACATCAAAGTTGGATCAGCCTGTAGTGTGGTTTTCCACTTTAATTTTGAGGGTGACTTCAAATCCAGACCTCCATGGGTTGATACATTTGATTTCCATTGATCATTTTTGTGTGATTTTGTTGTCAGCACATTCAACTATGTAAAGAAAAAAGTATTTAATAAGATTATTTCATTCATTCAGATCTAGGATGTGTTATTTTAGTGTTCCCTTTATTTTTTTGAGCAGTGTATTTTGATTTGTTTAACACTTTTCTGGTAACTACATGATTCCATATGTGTTATTTCATAGTTTTGATGTCTTCACTATTATTCTACAATGTAGAAAATAGTAAAAATAAAGAAAAACCCTTGAATGAGTTGGTGTGTCCAAACTTTTGACTGGTACTGTATCTGCCGTAATAGTGGAATGATTCACAATATTAAAAAAAGACAACATAAAAATATAAATTGCATTCTAATGGTGCCAAAGCCAGTCTGTCTCTTGTCAAATTGGAAGGCTGTACCTTCCCTCCCTCTCTTCGATCAGCATCACTCAGACGTGTGGTCATCTCCTCTCGAGTGTTGAACATGTAGATATCGCGCTGCCATTTCCTGGTTGCTAAAATGCTACATTGTTCGCTTAATTTCAGTTTATGTACCATCTAAATCGCTGCGAAATGTCTTTTCAATAACGAAAAATATCGTATTTTCAGCTGTTTGAATCTGGTGAATAAAAATGAAAGTAAAAGACTGAAGAGCAAGTCTCCACTGAGGTTGCAGGGGAGGGGATTCAGGTGAGGGGTTGTGGGGTTGTGGGGGAGGGGATTCAGGTGAGGGGTTGTGGGGTTGTGGGGGAGGGGATGCAGGGGAAGGGGGAGAGTTGTTTGAATTCAGGGGCTTCATTTTAGATTTTATGATCTCTTCTTACCTAGGGAATGGTTGTATTATCTGCTTGCACTTTGTGGCTTAGATCTAAGCTGCTGGTAAACACATTGTGACAAATGTAATTATAAACAAGCATTATTGAGGATAAGAGAGCATCAGCATCTATCACCCTGGTGAGTGAACCCCTCGTCTGGCCTTAAGGAGGCCTTTATGAGTGCACCCTTGCCACAAAGCCTGTTTTAACATGGGCAGGACCCTTATGGGTTTCACCATTTTAAAAGTAGTCAACTGGATTGCAGAATTCTATCCAGGTCAGCAGGAGGGGTCAGCCAATTAATTATAGGCTACTCCTGACCTGAGCAAACATTCCAGCACTGCAGGTAGCAACCTTGGCTTTATACCGGTTCAGAGTATTCACAGTCCAGCACAGTAGATGGGGGTATGCACCTTTTCAGTTTGTTTACGAACCGCCATTAAACTTATGAGTGGAAGAAGAAATTGACTACTTTTAAATGGAGATAGCCCTCAATGGCACTTCCCATGCTGTCACATAAGTGATAATGGCAAAGATAGGGGGTGGGGTCTCTTGGACGCTGTGGAATGAACTGCTTCTCTAGGGGGGCGTGGCCTGTTGATTTAATTTGACCGCTTCACTGATACTACCAGAAAGTAATTCGATTGTAAACAATAGGGAAATAAAAGTGATTATTGAGCACCTCCTGTCCCTGGGACATTTGGCCTCAATCACATTGATTGTATAATGCGCGCACACACACACACACACACACAGATTCGTAAATGGACTGAAATATTACAAACAAAATGTGCTGACTGGCCAAACACGGAAATGACGAGTCAGCATTTTCTTATTCAATGGAGCAGCCTGCCGTGAGTAACAGTTCCATTGAGTCCCTGATGATGAAACCCTATCACAGATCTCCATCGGCTATGAATTCAACACAGCACACTTCTCCCTAAACACACAATGGAGACAGACGAGAGCTGGAGCTGCAAGCAGCTGGGAGGACGATACAATACATTGAGATACTGTCTGAAAGTACATTTGGCAACGAGCGATAAACATTTTTTTCCCCTAACAGCAAGAAGTGCAAACGTTCTCAGTGTTGCCAGACGTGGTTGATCGATGGCTGTTTTCCTAACAGCGAAAGTCCGCAAACTTTCAGAGTGTTGCCAAAATGTGGCATAGGCGTTTGTGTGACGTCACAGTTTAGATAACGTGTCCACACAACCCAAGCAAGCCCAAAACTCGGATAAATGAGTCCCATCGTGTCAATCGTCAGCATATTACAGAAATCGTCCGTGTGAGCAATTCTTCTCAATGATTTCAGCATTTAATAAACTTCAGTAGCTCGAGCAGACAATCAAATCCTTACGGAGGCGGAAAAAAAGATTGTAAACGTTTGTGTATGCGCTTTTCATAAGCACAAAAATAAAATCATAAAAACTGATAAATCCATGGTATATTGAAACAGGAGGGCCAATGAGGGTAGATAATGAGCTTGATAATGTCAGTACTAGTCCAAGATACAGGAACGTGACATACAAGGCTGTCTAAGGGACGAGAGAGAGAGAGAGAGAGAGAGAAGAGACAGAGACAGAGACAGAGACAGAGACAGAGAGAGAGAGAGACAGAGAGAGAGAGAGACAGAGAGAGAGACAGAGAGAGCGAGAGCGAGAGAGAGAGAGAGAGAGAGAGACAGAGAGACAGAGAGAGAGAGAGAGAGAGAGACAGAGAGAGAGAGACAGAGAGACAGAGAGAGAGCGAGAGACAGAGAGGCAGAGACAGAGAGGCAGAGACAGAGAGGCAGAGACAGAGAGGCAGAGACAGAGAGGCAGAGACGAGAGGCAGAGACAGAGAGGCATAGACAGAGAGGCAGAGGCAGAGACAGAGGCAGAGAGAGAGAGAGAGAGAGAGAGAGAGAGAAGAGAGAGAGAGAGAGAGAGAGAGAGAGAGAGAGAGAGGTTGTCTGTCTACTGCTATGGACAGGCGGAGTGGGGAGAGAGAGGGAAGAAGAGGGGAGAAGGAGGGAGAGAAAGGAGGAGAGGGGGAAGAAAGGGTTCCGTTCCGTATTGGATGGGCTGAGAGGGCCGCTTATTTTTCTTTTCTTCTCTATTGCTTCTACTCCGCTTTTTCTTCTCTTCCTTCTTATCTTCTTCCCCTTCTTCCTTCGCTACCTCTTCTCTTTCTTCCTTCTTCCTTCCTCTCCTCTTCCTTCTGCCTTCCTTCCCCTTTTTTTTTTTTTTTTTTTTTTCCCCCCCCCCCCCCCCCCCCCCCCCCCCCCTTTTTTTTTTTTTTTTTTGGGGGGGGGGGGGGGGGGGGGCCCCCCCCCCCCCCCCCCCCCCCCCCGGGGGGGGGGGGGGGGCCCCCCCCCCCCCCCCCGGGGGGGGGGGGGGGGGGGGGTTTTTTTTAAAAAAAAAAAGGGGGGAAAAAGGGAAAAGGGGAGAAGAAGGGAAAGAAGGGCAGAGAGAGAAAGAGTATAAAAAGGAGGGAAAAGAAAAGAAGAGCCAGAGAAAGAGAAGAAGAGGGGGAAGGAAGGGGAAAGGGAAAAAGAAGAGAGAGGAGAGAGAGAGGAAGAGGAAAGAGAGAAAAGGAGGAAAAAGGATCCGAAGGAGGGGAAAAAGGAAAGAGGAAGGGGGAAGGGGGAAGAGAAAGCGGAGGGAGAGGGAGAGAAGAGGAGAGGAAAGAAAGGAGGAAAAGGGAAAAAGAGAGGAGGGGAAGAAGGAAAGGGGAAATGGACGAGGAGGAAGGAGGAAGGAGAGGGGAAGAGAGGAAGAGAGGAGAGGAAAGGAGGGGAGGGGGGAGAGAAGAGCGAAGGAGGGGAGGGAAGGAGGGCGGGGAGGAGAGGGGGGGGAAAAGGGAGGGGAGGAAGGGGAGGGGGGAGGAGGGGAAAAAGGGAGAAAGGAGGAGAGAGAGAGAAGGGGGAAAGAAGGGGAAGAGGAAGGGAAGGAGAGAAGGGGAAAAAGGGGGAAATAAATGACAGAGAAGCTGAAAAGAGTTTAAAAGAGGAAGAAAGGGGGTAACAGACAGAGGGAGAAGATGAGGACGGGAGGAAGAAATTATAAGAGGGAGAAGACGAGTTATAGTCCCTTCGGGTTTTTAACCTATTTCTTCCCCAAATCCCCCCTACTCCTTTCTTGCTCCTGCCTGGCCAGCTCTAGTCATTTTGTTCCCCAAAAGGCCCCTTACCCTTGATAAAGGGTATACGAAAGGGGAGAAAGAAGAGACAGTATAACAGCGGGTATAGAAGAACAAAAGGGGAAGAGAGAGAGGAGAAAGACGAAAATCACAGGTAGATAAAGAAGAGAGAAGAGAAGAGAGGGAAGGAGGAGCACACAGAGACAGCCTTAAAGCCGGTATAGAGAGAAGAACGGAGAGAGAAGAGGGGACAGAGAGAGAGAGCAACAGACAGATAAGCCTGGAGATAGAGGAGACAGAGAGGAGAGACAGAGAGAAGGAAGCACAAGAAGTGTATGACACCTGGATAGAGAGAAGACGAGAGAGAGAGAGGAGGAGGATAGGGAGAAAGACAGAAGCATTATCACAGCCTGTATGAGAGAAGAAGGAGGAGAGAGGATGAGGAAGAACAGACGTTCTTATCTACAGCTTGGTACAGAGAGAAGAGTGAGAGAGATAGTAGGGATAGGAGAAGACACAGAAGTCCTTCACGCCTGGGTATGAGAGGAAGAGAGAGAGAGGAGAGGGAAGCACATCAGTACAGCCTATCAAGCCTGGGTATAGAAGAAGAGGGAAGGAGGAGATGAGGAAGCCACAGACAGTTCCTTATCAAGCGCTTCTTATGGCTATAGATGAGAAGAGGATGAGAGGTGTCTAGGGATGCGGAGACACAGAAGTCCTTATCACCTTGGTATAGAGAAACGGCGTAGATGAGTGATGGATGCAACCGACAGTCCTTCTCACAGCTCGGGTATCTAGTAGCAGAGACTGCCGATGTAGAGGTGGTGGAGGGTACACTCATGACAGTCATTATCCATCGCTCTGGGTATAGCGGACGCCTGGCGGCGATGCGGCGAGGGATGGGAGGGAAGCACCAGACATCTTATCACAGCCTGGTATGATTAAACAGAGCAGGGGGTTAGACCCAAACAACAGTCACACCAGCCTCCCTTTATAGAGAAAACGCTAGAGAGAGAGGGGCACACACAGTCTCTGATAACAGCCTGCTTATAGAGGAAACGGAAGAGAGGGATTTGGGGATGCACACAGACAGTCCTTATCACAGCCTGGGTATAGAGAGAAGACGGGAGAGAGAGGGAGGGAGGGAAGCACACAGACAGTCCTTATCACAGCCTGGGTATAGAGAGAAGACGGGAGAGAGAGGGAGGGAGGGAAGCACACAGACAGTCCTTATCACAGCCTGGGTATAGAGAGAAGACGGGAGAGAGAGGGAGGGAGGGAAGAAAGAGAGAGAGAGGGAAGAAAGAGAGAGAGAGGGAAGAAAGAGAGAGAGAGAAAAAAGAGAGAGGAAAGAAAGAGAGAAGAAGGGAAGATAGAGAGAGGAAGGGAAGAAAGAGAGAGGGAGGGAAGCAGCAGTGAGGTGATAGATGTGGCCTTCTGAGGCTGGAGACAACCCTTATCACTACTCGGCATAAGACAGGAGGAGGGGGAGAGAGAGGGGAGGAGAGAGAGGGGAGGAGAGAGAGGGGAGGACAGCGGCAGGGGAGGAGAGAGAGGAGAGGACAGCGGCAGGGGAGGGATGAGAAAAGAGAGATCAGGATTAAGAGCTGCAATATCTTTCCATGAACAAGGCCCTTCAAGAGAGAGACGACAACTCAAGGATGTCTCCACACACACACACACACACACACACACACTACAGCTGACAGGTGTATAACATCGAGCACACAGCCATGTAATCTCTATAGACAAACATTGGCAGTAGAATGGCCCGTATTGAAGAGCTCAGTGACTTTCAACGTGGCACCATCATAGGATGCCACCTTTCGAACAAGTCAGTTCATCACATTTCTGTCCTGCTAGAGCTGCCCGATCAACTGTAAGTGCCGTTATTGTGAATTGGAAACATCTAGGAGCAACAATGGCTCAGGCGCGAAGTGGCAGGCCACACAAGCTCACAGAACGGGACCGCCAAGTGCTGAAGCACGTAGTGCGTAAAAATCATCTGTCCTCAGTTGTAACACTCACTACCGAGTTCCAAACTGCCTCTGGAAGCAACGTCAGCACAAGAACTGTTCGTCGGGAGCTTCATGAAATGGGTTTTCATGGCAGAGCAGCCGCACACAAGTCTAAGATCACAATGCGCAATGCCAAGCGTCGGCCTTTGGACTATGGAGTAGTGGAAACACATTCTCCGGAGTGATGAATCACGCTTCACCATCTGGCAGTCTGATGGACGACTCTAGGTTTGGCGGATGCCAGGAGAAAGCTACCTGCCCGAATGCATAGTGCCAACTGTAAAGTTTGGTGGAGGAGGAATAATGGTTCATGAATTCATGGTTTGGGCTAGGCCCCTTAGTTCCACATTCTAGACGATTCTGTGTTTCCAACTTTGTGGCAACAGTTTGGGGAAGGCCCTTTCCTGTTTCAGCATGACAATGCCCCCCTGAGCGTCGGAGCCGATGTAGTACGATTCAATCTTAGTCCTGTATTGACGCTTTGCCTGTTTGATGGTTCGTCAGAGGGCATAGTGGGATTTCTTATAAGCGTCCGGGTTAGAGTCCCGCTCCTTGAAAGCGGCAGCTCTACCCTTTAGCTCAGTGCGGATGTTGTCTGTAATCCATGGCTTCTAATAATAATAATAATAATAATAATAATAATAATAATAATGCCATTTAGCAGACGCTTTTATCCAAAGTGACTTACAGTCATGCGTGCATAAAAATGTGTTTGTGTATGGGTGGTCCCGGGGATCGAACCCACTACCTTGGTGTTACAAGCGCCATGCTCTACCAGCTGAGCTACAGAGGACCACAACCATACCTGGTTGGGGTATGTACGTATGGTCACTGTGGGGACAATGTCATCGATGCACTTATTGATGAAGCCAGTGACTGATGTGTTGTACTCCTCAACGCCATCGGAAAAATCCCGGAACATATTCCAGTCTGTGCTAGCAAAACAGTACTATTGGTTAGCATCTGCCTCATCTGACCACTTCTTTATTGACCGAGTCACTGGTGCTTCCTGCTTTAGTTTTTGCCTGTAAACAGGAATCAGGAGGATAGAATTATGGTCAGATTAGCCAAATGGAGGGCGAGGGAGAGCTTTGTACACGTCTCTGTGCGTGGATTAAAGGTGGTCTAGAGTTTTTTTTACTCTGGTTGCACATTTAACATGCTGGTAGAAATTAGGTCAAACGGATTTAAGTTTCCCTGCATTAAAGTCCCCGGCCACTAGGAGCGCCGCCTCTGGATGAGCGTTTTCCTGTTTGCTTATGGCCTTATACAGCTCATTGAGTGCGGTCTTAGTGCCAGCATCGGTTTGTGGTGGTAAATAGACAGCTACGAAAAATATAGATGAAAACTCTCTTGGTAAATAGTGTGGTCTACAGCTTATCATGAGATACTCTACCTCAGGCGAGCAAAACCTCGAGACTTCCTTAATATTAGCTTTCATGCACCAGCTGTTGTTTACAAATATACACAGACCACCACCCCTTGTCTTACCGGAGGCAGCTGTTCTATCTTGCCAATGCAGCATAAACCCCGCCAGCTGTGTGTTATCTATGTTGTCGTTCAGCCACGACTCGGTGAAACATAAGATATTACAGTTTTGTATGTCCCGTTGGTAGGATATTTGTGATCGTAGCTCATCTATTTTGTTATCCAATGATTGTACGTTGGCTAATAGGACTGATGGTCGAGGCAGATTAACACTCGCCGTCGGATCCTTACAAGGCACCCCGACCTACATCCCCGGTATCTCTGTCTCTTTCTCCTGCGAATGACTGGGATTTGGGCCTTGTCGGGTGTCTGAAGTAAATCCTTCACGTCCGACTCGTTAAATAAAAAAATATTTGTCCAGTACGAGGTGAGTAATCGCTGTCCTGATATCCAGAAGCTCTTTTTGGTCATAAGAGACGGTGGCAGAAACATTATGTACAAAATAAGTAACAAATAACGTGAAAAAACACACACAATAGCACAATTGGTTAGGAGCCCGTAAAATAGACCTGTGTGTGTGTATGTATTCACTGTTTGCACGTGTGTGTGATTCCAAGGGAGTTTGTGTGTCTGTGTGTGCACCTGATCCTTTGATAGAGTGTGTTTGTGTTTGTGTTACCTGTATCACTGCTGATGGTCTGCTGCCTGCACTTCTTGAAGTGAAAGCGTTTGATGGCGACTGGTTGGCCGCGGTAACAGGCTCTGTAGATGACAGCTCCACTGCCCCCCTGGCCCAGGATATCACTCTCCTCCTCACTACACTCCAACTGGGCCTTCTCTAGAAACAACCTACACACACACACACACACACACACACACACAAACATTATAAACACACTCCAACTGGGCCTTCTCTAGAAACAACCTACACACACACACACACACACACACACACACACACACACACACACACACACAAACATTATAAACACACTCCAGCTGGTTCTTCTACAGAAACAACCAATATAACACACAAACGCACACTTGAACACCATACCGTACATTAGACTATGTATACTCCATTTAGTACATTAGACTATGTATACCCCATTTAGTACATTATACTATGTATACCCCATACACTACATTATAATATGTATACTCCATACAGTACACACAAAGCCTCACTATCCATCACTAATGTAATCACCATCTTTCAGCATGCTACAGCTACCTCCCTGATCTCAACCTCAACTCTACCTGGTGGACGTCAACACATGCACCATACATTAATACATCTACCTCCCTGATCTCGATCTCAACCTCAATCCTACCTGGTGGACGTCAACACATGCACCATACATTAATACATCTACCTCCCTGATCTCAACCTCAACTCTACCTGGTGGACGTCAACACATGCACCATACATTAATACATCTACCTCCCTGATCCCAACCTCAACTCTACCTGGTGGACGTCAACACATGCACCATACATTAATACATCTACCTCCCTGATCTCAACCTCAACTCTACCTGGTGGACGTCAACACATGCGCCATACATTAATACATCTACCTCCCTGATCCCAACCTCAACTCTACCTGGTGGACGTCAACACATGCACCATACATTAATACATCTACCTCCCTGATCCCAACCTCAACTCTACCTGGTGGACGTCAACACATGCACCATACATTAATACATCTACCTCCCTGATCCCAACCTCAACTCTACCTGGTGGACGTCAACACATGCGCCATACATTAATACATCTACCTCCCTGATCTCAACCTCAACTCTACCTGGTGGACGTCAACACATGCACCATACATTAATACATCTACCTCCCTGATCCCAACCTCAACTCTACCTGGTGGACGTCAACACATGCACCATACATTAATACATCTACCTCCCTGATCCCAACCTCAACTCTACCTGGTGGACGTCAACACATGTGCCATACATTAATACATCTACCTCCCTGATCTCAACCTCAACTCTACCTGGTGGACGTCAACACATGCACCATACATTAATACATCTACCTCCCTGATCCCAACCTCAGCTCTACCTGGTGGACATCAACACATGCACCATACATTAATACATCTACCTCCCTGATCCCAACCTCAACTCTACCTGGTGGACGTCAACACATGCACCATACATTAATACATCTACCTCCCTGATCCCAACCTCAACTCTACCTGGTGGACGTCAACACATGTGCCATACATTAATACATCTACCTCCCTGATCTCAACCTCAACTCTACCTGGTGGACGTCAACACATGCACCATACATTAATACATCTACCTCCCTGATCCCAACCTCAGCTCTACCTGGTGGACATCAACACATGCACCATACATTAATACATCTACCTCCCTGATCCCAACCTCAACTCTACCTGGTGGACATCAACACATGCACCATACATTAATACATCTACCTCCCTGATCCCAACCTCAACTCTACCTGGTGGACATCAACACATGCACCATACATTAATACATCTACCTCCCTGATCCCAACCTCAACTCTACCTGGTGGACATCAACACATGCACCATACATTAATACATCTACCTCCCTGATCCCAACCTCAACTCTACCTGGTGGACGTCAACATATGCACCATACATATCCAACAAAGGATCCTATGTATTGCATTCTGCTATAGGGCTGAAGCTATAGTCGCCATAGCAACATTCCTAAATCCTTATTAGCATCCTCTTCATATTATGAACACAAAGCTACGTCTCAAATGGCACTCTGTTCCCTATGAAACGCACTACTTTTGACAGGGCCCTGGTCAAAAGTAGCTCACTACATAGGGAATAGAGTGCCATTTGAGACCCAGCCCAAGTCTTTCATGTGAGCTTTTAATGTAGAGAGCTAAGTCAACAAACCAGCACGGCCACTTAAATTAGCGTAGAACATAAAGCCTTGGTCAGCTGCCAATCTAAACTGCTCAGAGTTGACCATCCATCCTGGAGCTGTAAGGCTTGGGAAACATTATTCGGGGTCAATTTAATCTCACACACGCTTTAAATTGCATTTCGGCAGAGTCACACAGCAGAGTGTTAGAGCGCGTTCCTGTGTGTGTATGTTCTGTGTGTCCATGTTCTCGTGCACGCTCGCTTGCACGTTCCTGTGTGTGTATGTTCTGTGTGTCCATGTTCTTGTGCACGCTCGCTTGCACGTTCCTGTGTGTGTGTATGTACATAGCTGTGGCGTTAGCTGATGTCAACTCGTGGCACCAGTGTTTGAGGAAGTGATTATTTAGTCAATATATCTCTTGTCTTAGAGCAGCACTAAACTGTGTTGCTTTGATAGCATAAATATTTGGGAGTGATTGTTGCCCCATGAACAGTAAATACGACAGCGGCCTGTTGTATTTCACAGAGATATGCTTGTGTAATCAACCCTCAAGCACTGTGTGTGTGTGTGGTTACCTTTAAGGGTAAACAATACATCAACTGATGCTGTCACTGGTGAGAAATCAACTGAAACTCATTACGCAGCCAAACCCCTGGAGAGCTGTGTGTGTGTGTGTGTGTGTGTGTGTGTGTGTGTGTGTGTGTGTGTGTGTGTGTGTGTGTGTGTGTGTGTACAGAGTAGCTATGCCTGCGTACTGTACTGTACATGTCAAAGTCCTGTCAGTGAGGAGCCTAAGGAGACTCCTATCAACACAGCAGGAAACCACAAGGCCCTGTATTACACAATACTACAGGAGGAAACCACAAGGCCCTGTATTACACAATACTACAGGAGGACACCACAAGGCCCTGTACTGCACAATACTACAGGAGGACACCACAAGGCCCTGTATTACACAATACTACAGGAGGAAACCACAAGGCCCTGTATTACACAATACTACAGGAGGAAACCACAAGGCCCTGTATTACACAATACTACAGGAGGAAACCACAAGGCCCTGTATTACACAATACTACAGGAGGATACCACAAGGCCCTGTATTACACAATACTACAGGAGGAAACCACAAGGCCCTGTATTACACAATAATACAGGAGGAAACCACAAGGCCCTGTATTACACAATACTACAGGAGGAAACCACAAGGCCCTGTATTACACAATAATACAGTACACATCAGCCAAGTTTACATTAGTCTCAGCAGAGGTCTCAATAACATCCACACACACTGACTGTGGGAGTCATAGACCTCCTGCCTGACAGACGGACAGACAGGGGAGGGGGAAGACAGGCAAACAGATGGACAGACGGACAGGGACAGACAGAGACAGAGTTCAACTACGCAACACCTAATGGGATAGGACTAAAAGAAAGACTGTCCTAAATGACACCCTATTTTCTACATAGTGCACTATGGGTCCTGGTCAAAAGTAGTGCACCATATAGGGAATAGGATGCCATTTGGGATGCATCCTGTGTTTTTGTGCTGTGAGAATGGCCTGGTTTCATTTAGTCAGTAATGGGAGTGTTAAGTGAGTGAAACAAAGGAACAATCAACAAAACAATGTTTTCTCCCAGTGCAAGGGCAATCTCTGGTTGTCCTTAATGACTAAATAGAGCCATCTATCCCGGTTATAACCAAAAGCTCCAGCTCAGCCTGAGTGTCGGTGACAGGTGAAGGGTCAAAAGTGACAGATGAGGGGTCAAAGTTTAGGGATAAGAGGTTTGAGGTTCAGAGGGTGTGTGTGTGGGAGCAAGTTTGACAGCATGTTCGAGAGAATCGGCCCTAGTAAAGCTTAGCAAAGAATGACTGATCTACAAATTGTCTGGCATCCACTTGAGAATAAATTTTAACTAGTCTCCCATTGACGTCAATGCATGACTAAGTGAAAATGTGACTTAAGTGGAAGATATGATTCACCCCTATGTGAAGAAGATTAGCCCATCTGTGCAGCACCTTCCTCAGCCTCATCCTATGTGAAGAAGACAGCTGTGCAGCGCTAATAGGTCAACAGGTCAGGGGTTAGAGGTCAAGGGTCAGGGTGAAAGGTTACCGTGAGGGGAAGTCGGTCATGAAAAGCTCTGGGACCAGCTCCTGAAGGGGGACAGGCTGGTCGGGGTGCTGGGGACACACTATGTAGTCCTGGTCCATGGCAGCGATCACACAGTCCTCCATGTTGAAGAAGTGCTCTCCTCTTCCACCAACCTTTTCTCTGCCTAGCGGTGGGATGGTCGGCAATGTTACCATGGTTACCATGATCGAACCAAAAGATAAAGCGGACTTCAGAGCGCAAACGCTGTTTAACAGCAGTCCCAGTACAAAAAAAAGATATTATAGGTTGATTTATAAAACATTATAGGGGCTCATGCACGCTTATAACAAGTAATAATACATTATAAGGGTATGCTTTCACTAAGGTAAAAGGGCAAATGATTGTTTTAGTGCTTAATGTCTGCATTGATTGGGTTTTACTTAAACATTTGCAATAGCCCCTAGACATTCCATTAGAAGTTGGCCCACCCTACCTTCTCCTCCTCTTCTTCCAGCTGCAGTCCCCCTGGTTGGGGGTTCTCCCAGACTCCCAGGCCCCTGGTTCTGTCTGCTCATGGAGGAACACTGGGGACAGGGGGAGTACTGCTCAATCAACCGGGTCCCATCACTCTCACTGGCCGTCAGTGCTAAAGGAGGGGAGATGACACAGAGAGAGACAGAAAGTCAGACACATGGTCTGGTGGAGTCTGGTCTAGGGGTAGTGCAGCCCACTCCGGACTACAAACATCCCTAGAGGCCAAACGTCAAAGCCCCGACTCCACTACTTTCCTTGCTGTTTTAACCGATTCTCATCAGTCTCCCTGTGTCATGTTATCTCTAATCATCTCTGCCTTAAAACGGAACGTTTCCATGGATCCTTTTTACCTTCTGCTATGAGGCTTTTTAACAGAAAATGTTTTCTCAAAATGCATACTACCGTGCTCCGAGCACGCAAGCTGGAGCACGGGAGGGTCAGAGTATGAGTCCAAATTAAAGTATGTGGAACGGAGCACGGAGGGCACTTCTCGAATGCGTACTCTGTTTGTACATATTTTTAAGCATGCATCGATGCAAGATTCAATGGAAAGTATGCACAGGAATATGACGCAAGCACGTAAAATAATCGACGCACAATTTCTTGAAATCAATGGCGGACATCATTTGAGCTGAAGCGAGAGAAAATAAACTCCGACTTCAGAATGAAATGTTGCCCATTCACATCTCATATGTTGCCTGACTTCAATATTTTATCTTGATACATTAATAAATATATACTGTGTTAATTTTGGCATGTTTACCTGCCTACACTACCCACTGTAGTGTGGATAGATCGCAAGCCCATTGTAAGGCAATAGGGCTAACGTTGACTGGCTAGCTACTACTGTTAGCTAGCTATGTAGATAGCCATGAAGAATTGGCAGCTAGCTACCCACGAAGAATTTACATATACCTTGCATAACATTAGTTGTAGGTTATTTTTGCCTGTAAATCCATCTGGTTAGCTAGATTATTACGATTCACATACAGTGGGGAAAAAAAGTATTTAGTCAGCCACCAATTGTGCAAGTTCTCCCACTTAAAAATATGAGAGGCCTGTAATTTTCATCATAGGTACACGTCAACTATGACAGACAAAATGAGAAGAAAAAAATCCAGAAAATCACATTGTAGGATTTTTAATGAATTTATTTGCAAATTATGGTGGAAAATAAGTATTTGGTCAATAACAAAAGTTTCTCAATACTTTGTTATATACCCTTTGTTGGCAATGACACAGGTCAAATGTTTTCTGTAAGTCTTCACAAGGTTTTCACACACTGTTGCTGGTATTTTGGCCCATTCCTCCATGCAGATCTCCTCTAGAGCAGTGATGTTTTGGGGCTGTCGCTGGACAACACAGACTTTCAACTCCCTCCAAAGATTTTCTATGGGGTTGAGATCTGGAGACTGGCTAGGCCACTCCAGGACCTTGAAATGCTTCTTACGAAGCCACTCCTTCGTTGCCCGGGCGGTGTGTTTGGGATCATTGTCATGCTGAAAGACCCAGCCACGTTTCATCTTCAATGCCCTTGCTGATGGAAGGAGGTTTTCACTCAAAATCTCACGATACATGGCCCCATTCATTCTTTCCTTTACACGGATCAGTCGTCCTGGTCCCTTTGCAGAAAAACAGCCCCAAAGCATGATGTTTCCACCCCCATGCTTCACAGTAGGTATGGTGTTCTTTGGATGCAACTCAGCATTCTTTGTCCTCCAAACACGACGAGTTGAGTTTTTACCAAAAAGTTCTATTTTGGTTTCATCTGACCATATGACATTCTCCCAATCCTCTTCTGGATCATCCAAATGCACTCTAGCAAACTTCAGACGGGCCTGGACATGTACTGGCTTAAGCAGGGGGACACGTCTGGCACTGCAGGATTTGAGTCCCTGGCGGCGTAGTGTGTTACTGATGGTATGCTTTGTTACTTTGGTCCCAGCTCTCTGCAGGTCATTCACTAAGTCCCCCCGTGTGGTTCTGGGATTTTTGCTCACCGTACTTGTGATCATTTTGACCCCACAGGGTGAGATCTTGCGTGGATCCCCAGATCGAGGGAGATTATCAGTGGTCTTGTATGTCTTCCATTTCCTAATAATTGCTCCCACAGTTGATTTCTTCAAACCAAGCTGCTTACCTATTGCAGATTCAGTCTTCCCAGCCTGGTGCAGTTCTACAATTTTGTTTCTGGTGTCCTTTGACAGCTCTTTGGTCTTGGCCATAGTGGAGTTTGGAGTGTGACTGTTTGAGGTTGTGGACAGGTGTCTTTTATACTGATAACAAGTTCAAACAGGTGCCATTAATACAGGTAACGAGTGGAGGACAGAGGAGCCTCTTAAAGCAGAAGTTACAGGTCTGTGAGAGCCAGAAATCTTGCTTGTTTGTAGGTGACCAAATACTTATTTTCCACCATAATTTGCAAATAACTTCATTAAAAATCCTACAATGTGATTTTCTGGATTTTTTTCTCTCAATTTGTCTGTCATAGTTGACGTGTACCTATGATGAAAATTACAGGCCTCTCTCATCTTTTTAAGTGGGAGAACTTGCACAATTGGTGGCTGACTAAATACTTTTTTCCCCCACTGTATAGCTAGCTGATAATTATGAAGTAATTATGAAGTGTGAACACCAGTCAATGGTGACCAACGATCTTGACTGCCACGGATTCCAGCCTAGGACATGAAGCTGAAGTCATTGAAGAGGTGCTGTTTTTTGTGTATGTACTGTGTATTTACTGGTGGTGTATCTATTGGTGCAATCAAACTTCCCCTTTAGGGAAAATAATTGATTATCTTATCAAAAGAAAGGGGATATGGAGGAGTGCACACAGAGACAGGGACACACCAACAGACTGAATCCCAATTAACTTGAGACATAACTTTCTGGGCATGAATCCCATTGACATTACTGCATGGTTTATCTGAAAACTGTCAAGATGGCTAGCTTTGCGAGGCAAAGATGAAACTGAGGGCTCCACCAACCCTGGTATTTTTCTTGGACTTGTCAACTTTGTGGCACAATTAGATGAGGTGTTTGATGACCATCTTAAAAATGCTAAAGTTTTCAAGGGCACATCAAAGACCATTCAAAACGAGCTACTGGAGTGTATGCTAGCGGTCATGAGGGAACATATTGTGGAGGAGGTGAAGTCGGCGAACTTCGTAGCTATCCAAGCTGACGAGACCACGGACGTTTCTACACAGACACAGCTGGTGCTTGTGCTGAGGTACATAGATAGCAACCACAAAGTGCAGGAGCGCTTTTTTGAGTTCCTTCCCATCTCGGAATCAACCTCAGTCTCAATCGCCAGTGTGCTTTTGGAGAGACTGAACAGTCTTTTTGCCGACGACGAGAAAGTCAAACTCATTGCGCAAGCTTACGATGGAGCCAGTGTGATGAGGGGAGAGAAGGCTGGTGTGCAGCAAAAGGTGCGTGAGCATTTCAAGAATGCCCATTACGTGCATTGCTATGCGCATCAGCTGAATTTGATCATGCAGCAAGCTAGAACAGTTTCAGTACAAGTAATGTAGCCTCTCTCTCTCTTTGTCCCTCCCTGTCTGTCTCTTTAACACACACACGCCCAAATCAGTTCACAGTTGATGTTGTTTAAAAATAGTTATTTTTCTTTTTTTTTTAAGTAAAAAAAAAAAAAAAAATCTGTTCATGTTCATTTTTACAAATCTATACAATTGGCCAGAATATGGTTGTTCATATTTAAAAATCTATACAATTGGCCAGAATATGGTTGTTCATTTTTACAAAGCCATACAGATAGCTGTGTTTACCTTTTCTAGAAATTATTTTCAAATTCTGTTTTCAGGCAAAATGTCTATCACTGTTCATTTTCACAAATCTATACAAGAGGGCAGAATATGGAAGTCTATAAAAATGTCTTATTACCAATAACTTGCATCAATGTTTTCAGTAGCCTCTATCAAAAGCTCCTGCTTGCTTGTTGTGAATTATGCTCAGGTGCACATATTTCCAATTCAACCATGAGGCCTTTTTGAAGCAAGTAATGTGTATATCAGTATTGACTTATATGCTGCCCCTGTCTTCATGTTGTTGCTGGACATATCTTTTTTTAAATGTGTGTAGGTCACCTAAATCATCAGAAAAATTGCCCCCCCTGAGAATTTTTTCAGGAGCCGCCACTGCTGACAGGTATGTATCACCAGTTAGGACTGGGCCTTGGGCCCATGTAAATATAGACATTCTGAATGACTCATGCATGTCAGTGTAAATAAATCCCCAATCAACGTTAATCACTTAGTCATCCAATACCTTTATCCAAAGCGATTTACAGTCATGTGTGCATACGTTTTCATATGAGTGGCCCCAGCTGAGCGGGAAACCAAAACACAAATATGAACGCATGCACATACGCAGATCACAACACACCCACCATGCTGAGCAGTCGGCTAAGTGCTGTATTGTGACAGGTGATCTAAAAGCAGCATCAGGAGTTTGATGTGGAATAATGACTTATGAGTCATCAACACTTATGAGTCATCAGCAGGAAATATGACAGACTGTGGCTGTCATGCTGAGAGATAGAGAGAGTAATGTCTCCATTCCTTTGAAACTTTGAGTATAATGTTCACTGTTCATTTCTGATTATTTCAATTTTGTTTATTATCTATTTCACTTGCTTTGGCAATGTAAACATATGTTTCCCGTGCCAATAAAGCCATTTGAATTTCATTGAATTGAGAGAGAGAAGCCTCACCAGGGAACCACTGTTCGATGAGGGAGTTGACGTGATCCGTAACGAAGGCCATGGCTGAAAAATCCCTGGTCTCTGATTGACAAATGATCTTGATGCCTCCGCTTTTCTTCCTCTTCCAGTTGACATCAGTCGATTCCACACTGCCAAGGGAGGGAGGGAGACGGGAGAGGGAAGGAGAGAGGGAGAGAGAGAGAGAGAGAGAGAGGAAGTTGGAGAGTGTGCATGTCAATAGTCTAAAGTGTGTACCTCTCATCTCCTTTCTGCTATCTGAACTGAGAGGTGAAAGTTAATGGTCAGCTCCGTCTCAACCATTGTCACCCAACCTGTGCTTTCAGATGAACACAGGCAGCACTTTTCATAGAGCTAAAGCATTGTGCAAAGTACAACAAATACTGTAAACATCATTATAATGTTGCAGTGTGATTTCATTTGACATTTCTTCTTCAACAATATGCATTATAAAAGGAGACAATTATTTAACTAGTTTAGTAAACTGAGCAATACATAAAGTCACATCTTTATAATGCACTTTCGTGAAGAAAAGATTCAAATTAAATCACGCTGCCAGATTATAATTAGGTTTATGGTCATTTTTGCACTTTACACAATGCTTTTGCACTAAGAAAATGTTGCCCACAGTCTGCTATTACATTTCACAGAGGGCTTGAGGTTTGCAGATGACCTCAAGTTGATCTTCAAATAAAATCCTGTGCAACTGTAACAGACTTACTGTATGGCTGGTTTCTCAGACCCAGAGAAGCCTATTCCTGGACTAGAAATCACTTGGAGAATCTCCATTATGCTTTTTAGTCGATGACTAGGAGTTGGCTTAAAGGGGAAGTTCAGGATTGTACTACTTGATGACTACTCTGAAAGTATTATGGGCCAGCTAACGCTGGCTAAAGTTAGCTGAAGTTTGTGGTGGCGGTTTAAACTGGACCATTGATTACATCCTGGCTTCTAAACTACTTTCAGGGTGAAGATACTTCTGACATTAAATGGTAAAATACTGAACTTCCCCTTTAATCTGTGCCCAGGAAACAGGTCCTTAGTGACCTCAAAACGCAACAACTTAAACAATTACATTGATAACAAAATAATAAACATTTTAGCACAAAAAAATGCAACAGAGGAAAGGAGTTGAGTCCCCACACTCTATGTTCCCAGATGTGTTTTCTAAAGGTTCTTTGTTCTCTAAAGGTTCTTTGTTCTCTAAAGGTTCTTTGTTCTCTAAAGGTTCTTTGTTCTCTAAAGGTTCTTTGTTCTCTAAAGGTTCTTTGTTCTCTAAAGGTTCTTTGTTCTCTAAAGGTTCTTTGTTCTCTAAAGGTACTTTGAAAGCGTCCCTCTGCTGAAGGTACTGTATGTGCTAACTAAGAGCCTTAGAGCCCACTGACAACACTCAGATGTACATGTGCACTTTTGAAGAGATTTCATTAGGTACACATTAGGTGTAATGGTAATAATCTATTATCAGCATGTTTCATTAGAGAAAGTATCTCAATATGCTGTAAGTTAAGAGAAAGATGCACACACTGTGTTTTAGGAAATATACCGGCAAATGTGTAAGTCGTTTTATGTAGCACTTTTAAACTTGTTCTCTAATAATTACACAATGAAGCACATAATAACAGTACATGTGCATTTTTAAGACCTATCATTAAGTGCCTGGCTAATTAGCCCTGTATGCAATGCTGAGCCGGCTCTGGGTTTGATTAATTAGGTCTGCTCATTTAGCGTTTAGCCGGGGTTTGGCACTCTTCCTGACGGATGATGTCAGCGAAATCAACACCTTGTTGTAGAGCATGTGTTTGTGAAAAGGTGCTACACAGTAAGGCATACAGTATTTATTTACCTAACATTGGGCCATATCCTAATCTCGCTCCCAGACACTTCCGCCCAAATGCGCGAAGAGTGTTGGACCAACGCGTCAAACTTGGCTTTCATTAGCCAATACAGAAAGACCGGGAGAAACTCCCGCCACATAGGTATTGGCTTAATCGGCTTAATTTACAAACCAATCATCTCCCACAACACCTTCCTCCTAACCCTCCCCACGGCTCGCAGTTGTGTGATTTGTTAAAATGATATGATGACAAATACTTTACTCAGTAGGTTCCTGCCATATAATTCTATGGTCACTCCCACTAAGGCCAACTTTGAATGGTTGAAATCCCAGGCTTATATGTGCTGTGCGCAATAGCCTGGTGACGAGGTTAGCCAAATCCTAACTCAAACATTATGCATGGGAGTCAATGGGAGATTTGCTCGAACATTCGAGTTACACGCATGCATTTCAAGTAAGTTACCCCAATGTACCCGACCCTTAATCCCTCACCTTAGATACCCTCCGTCGAAGGTGACCAGTAGTCCCTCTCTCCAGTAGATGGTCTTACTGCGGCGGACTCTGAAGGTGCTACAGCGGTTCCTCTGTTGGCTGCCTGTCCCCGCAAAATTGTAGATCACCGTGGTCCTCCTCCGTTCGCTCTTAGCATTCTTCTTAGGCTCAAAGGACTAGGACAACACAGAGAGAACTCTTAGCATTCCTCTTAGGCTCACAGGACTAGGACAACACAGAGAGAACACTTAGCATTCCTCTTAGGCTCACAGGACTAGGACAACACAGAAAGGAAGAGTTTTAAGAATAGGTACAAGCCTGTGAGCACAACAGATACAATTGTCTTGCATTCTGTCTTTTGCCCCAACCCAACCCCCACCATAATCTTACAAAACGTATTGAATATAGTGTAGGTTTCAAATGTGTTTTATTGAAGAGCATAATTACATATGCTGTATACTCAGTGAATATGCTCCATTTCTTTACATAAATGGCATCTGACACGTACGAGTTTTACAGACTTCTATACAGCCTTTTCAATGCCCCTGCGGGTGTCACCAGTAAACCCTGTTAAACTGCCAATGCAGGTGTGGGTGGGAAACCCTGTTACCTGGAGGTCCATCTCTGTGAGGCTGATGAGCATGCGGGCGATGAAACGTTCCCAGAATCCCGCCGGCACGAAGCTCATCTTGAAGAGCCGCTGGATGGTGTTGGCGGTCTCTTGGCGGAAGCCGTGGATGTCCATAGCAGGTTTAGGAGGAAGGAGGTGGGGGAGGAGGTAACTATAGGGGAGAAAAGGTAGAGTTAAATGTAGGGAAGAGGAATAAGGAAACCATGAATGTCCATAGCTGCTTTAAGAGACAGGTGGTGGGGGATCAGGTAACGGTATAGGAGGAGCAGGACAGAGGTAGGGTTAGAAGTTATGGATGTCCATAAGGGGAACGAGGTGGGGCAGATATATGAGAGGGTCAGTTCTGTTTGCTTTCAGAGAGCTAAGCCGTGCCACAAAGTGCATTGTGAAAAGAACATGAGCCTGAACAGTTCAGGTCAGCACGATAGTGCACATCATATCTGAGAATCAGTCTCCATGTAGCTGGGCCATGTTCAGTAGGCAAACTTAGTGGAATGTTGCAGATAGAAATGTCACGAATAGACCTGACTAGATTCCTTATTCTACAAATCAGAGAGGCAGGCTTGTTCTAAATAAGACATTTCTATCTGAATGGTCCACAATGTTGTGCTCTGCTGAACATGGCCCAGGGCCCAGCTTGGAGAACCGCCCGTCCATACCTATCGCTGGCCACAGGCAGAGCAATCTCAAACTTGGCCAGAAACTGGAAGTACTGCTCCTCCGTCTGCTGGGTGAAGCCCGTTCCCACCAGGAGCATGCGGAGGTCCTCCGCTCGGATCACCCCGTTCCAGGCCACCGATCGGGAGCTCTTCAGGTGGATGATCCGCTCCAGACACTCCGACAGCCACACGGGACAGAGGAAGTAGAGGGTACACAGGCCGTGACTGGTGTCTGGGAAGTGGAGGAGGGTGCCTGTCTCGATCAGGAAGCTTATGGCTGGAGAGAGGGATGAGGGAGGGAGAGAGGGTGGGAAGAGATCAAGTTTCAAGTTTTTACTGTCACGTGCACAAGTACAGTGAAATACCCTTGTCTGCTCTTTCCCATCAATGCAGCAATCCAGATCAGCAGCACAATAAAACAGAAATAAAACAAGATGGAGGTCGGGATAATGAAGAGGAATATGTTCATACGGAAAAATTGAATATAATAGTCTGGACAATGCAGTATATGATATACTATGGTCCTGTGTGGCTCAGTTGGTAGAGCATGGCGCTTGCAACGCCAGGGTAGTGGGTTCGATTCCCACGGGGGACCAGTACATGGGGGAAAAAGTATGAAATGTATGCACTGGATAAGAGTGTCTACTAAATGACTAAAATGTAAATGTTAGTTCAACCAGGAGGGTTAGTTGTTGTACTTCTCCAGGAGGACCAAGGTTAGTGGCCCCTGGTCTACACAATATGTAAAAGGATGAGAAAGCCAACTTGAAGAGAGTATGTGTAATTGTGTATAAAACCATTGAATCGATTCATGCAATATTAAAATGCTTTTAAAAAAGTACCAACGCAGCAGTTTTTTTTATCTCAAATAATTTCTGGGTAACAATTCAAGGAAAATTCCAACCAAAAACTATCTTTTGGTATTTGTTTCATTAGTCCATTGTTGAAATGTTTTGCATGTCAGCAATCAAGTTTTCAAGATATATAACTTTCAAAATACAGATATACAGCATCATACCGGCTGTATATGTATTTTTAAAGTTAGATATCTTGAAAACTTGATTGTTGACATGCAAAACATTTTGGGACAATATCAACAATGGACTAAAGAAACAAATACCAGAAGATAGTTTTTGGGTGGAGTTTTCCCTTTAATACCTTACTGTGATTGTTTTAAATTAAAATGGTCAAAAAGAAAGAAAAACAGCTTCTTAGCAAAGGGCAATTTCTCAAGCAAGAATTTTGCTAGGACTGCCTGGGAGTGGTCTGAGTGGGGAGGGGAAAACTGAAAATGTGCTGTTATTGGCAGAGAGGTTTGGAACTCTTTCTTATTGGTCTATTAACTGCATGGTGACGTCTCCAAGGAAGGCCCAAACTCCATCCTACCAAAACAGTCTGAAATTTCAGCTCTTATACTAAAAGTGCATTTTCATATTTTTCACAATTTCACTGTATTATTCCAACCTCATAGTGTGGAAATATATATAACACACAGGAAAATCACGTTTTTGCCTGCAATGGGCCTTTAATGAAATAAGGTCGATAAATAAATAATGGCTAAAAAGGAGAGGGGTTTGGTACCGGTCTGCAGGTCCTCGTAGTCTCTGATGTCACTTCCTGGGTTCTGCTCTATGACGAGGTCCAGCTGTGCGTCTGTCAGGTACTGGACCTCGTCTTCTGCGTCCCGCCGCCCCCGCTCACCTAGCACCGCTTGTTGCAGCGTCAGGTAGCTCTTTGGGATCTATGAAGGGTTATAGAGGGTTCATAACGCATTTGAATTCTGAGTCTGGGGTTACCCACACAAGAGCTTTATACACAAGCAAGCATGCATGCACACACAGAAACACACACACACTTACCAGTCTGCCCACCAGCTTGTGTCCGCTAGCTGAACTACTGCTGTTGTCCTTCATGTAGCAGGCCACCTGGAAGATCAACCTCCTCAGACCATCCAGACCCTCCTGGGTCTTACACGATACCTCACTGAACACACACACACACACACACACACACCACATACAGAGTCATATTAACACACTTTCATGCCAAGGGTTGAGGAAATCAAAACTGTGTGTGTGCGCCTGACTGTGTGTGGTAACGTGACTGTGTGTGTGTGTGTGTGTGTGGTAACGTGACTGTGTGTGTGTGTGTGTGACTGTGTGTGTGTGTCCCCTACGGTCTCTGTGTATGACTCACTGCAGGTGTTTCCAGGTGATGTCTGGGTAGCCACTGGCCCTGGCGCCTGATGGAGACCTGCTGAGTGCCAGGATGTAGGCCCTCAGTGTGGCCACCCGCTCTGTACGGAACTTGGTGTCGATCAGGTCCAGGTGGGTACCCACCACCACCACCGCAGAGTTAGGGGCACGCGCCTGCAGGTCAAAGGTCAAGTTCAGAAGTCCTATACAGTTCCTTCAGAAAGTATTCATACAGACTTATTCCACATTTTGTTGTGGTACAGCCTGAATACAAATCAAGTTGTAGTGACATCTTAACGATGATCAAAGGAAATTGGATGCATCTGAGCTTAATTTGGAGTGTCATAGCAAAGGGGTGTGAATACTTATGTAAATTAGATATTTCTGTATTTCATTTTCAATGAATTTGCAAAAACAAAATTGAAAAACATGTTTTCACGTTGTCATTATGGGGTATTGTGTGTAGATGGGTGATTTAAAAACATTTTTTAACCCATTTGGAATTCAGGCTGTAACACAACAAAATGTGGAATAAATCCACGGGTTTGAATACTTTCTGAAGGCACTGTAGGGTATGACCACAAAGACCTGCTCTGACCCTGCATCCCAATTCTGTACCGAAGTACTTCACCCTGATCTCCTTCTCAGCCAGTAGGTGGCGCTATATTCATCCGAATAAATACAGCACAGTGACTGACTAGAAAGGTTTTTATCAGTATTAAAGTATTTTAACATGTGATCGTTTATCTAAATCAATTCTTCTGTGGATTCATTGGATTGTGTAAGCGAGTTTCCACTATATTTCCTACACCAGCCCTTTCTTTTTAAATTCATGAAGGGAAGTGCAAACTTAGGGCATAAAGGTGGAGAATGAGGACAGTGGTCAGTTTTCTTGATGTTTTACTACAACAGGTTTGACATTTTGACTCCCAAAGGTCATTGTGGTCAAACAGGACAACTCATCCACGTCCTGTGACCTGACCGTTCCTTCCCACAGTGGAAATAGACATGACCTTTGTAGTTAAAAACACTGACACCTGTCAGAGTCACTTGAAATAATTAGAGTGAGGCTCTTTTATTCTCTCAGATAATTTTTACCATTGTTGTATAACACCTTGGATGCAAAAAATTCAATTTATAAAATAAAATGCATTATTTGTATAGAATATTGACAGACAGATGTTGTAGTCATGAAAAGATAGGGGAGTCAATTCAGGTCAAATCATTTAAGGATATTTAAAAAATACTAATTGAAAATACATGGCAGTCATGCAGAGCCTTTGGGCTAGCGGTTATGTTCCCAGTCAGTCGAATATACTGCTCCCCACCGGAGACCGGGGTTCAATCCTACTGTTCACCCACTAGCCTGGCTCTCCCTCTATTTCCAACTATCTCATTCATTTTTTTCAAATGTATTTCTTTAATAAAAAGAAGAAACTAAATGGCACTAGTCCGACTAACATGGTTTCTGTCTCACCTCAATGTTAAGCAGCCAGGACTGCAGATTGGCTACAGCCTCCTGTCCCAGAGCTAGGTTCCAGATGACTACGTACAGGGCCTTGTCCGTGAAGAAACACTGGTTGACCGTGGACATGTTGGCCGGACCGCCGATGTCCCACACGTTGAACGCCACAGAGTCCGTCTGTTACGGTGGTGGAATTAAAAGAAGAAGAAAAATAAATAAATCACTCAAAAACAATGACTATGTGACAAAATTATACCACTGTCAAAACCTACCTTAGTTGAATGCACTGACAGAGAGCGTCTACTAAAATACCAAAATGTAAAATGTCTAATTTGTTTTACTTTGGAAACGCAGTTCCTACTCCTTCTCCCTCAATTCCACCCCTACGTCTATACAGGATGAGATACGTTGTATTATTGTGTCAAGATTAGGAATTACGAATGGGTTAATCTCTCGTGGACCGACTACGTATAATAAATGGTATCCTAATCGAGCATCTGACGCAATTAAGCAAGATTTTAGTTCTGGGTTTCCGAGATTAGGAATGGGTCAACATGACTGCCTTTGTGTTACTTTGATAAATTGTAACATGATGTAATCGTAGTAACCATTCCAGGCTCAAAACAGACTGGCGCCCAAGCACAAAACAGACTGGCGCCCAGGCTCAAAACAGACTGGCGCCCAAGCACAAAACAGACTGGTGCCCAGGCTCAAAACAGACTGGCGCCCAGGCTCAAAACAGACTGGCGCCCCGGCTCAAAACAGACTGGTGCCCAGGCTCAAAACAGACTGGCGCCCAGGCTCAAAACAGACTGGCGCCCAAGCACAAAACAGACTGGCGCCCAGGCTCAAAACAGACTGGCGCCCAGGCTCAAAACAGACTGGCGCCCAGGCTCAAAACAGACTGGGCGCCCAGCCAAAACAGACTGGCGACCCAGTCAAAAACAGACTGGCGCCCAGGCTCAAAACAGACTGGCGCCCAGGCTCAAAACAGACTGGCGCCCAGGCTCAAAACAGACTGGCGCCCAGGCTCAAAACAGACTGGCGCCCAGGCTCAAAACAGACTGGCGCCCAGGCTCAAAACAGACTGGCGCCCAGGCTCAAACAGACTGGGCCCAGGCTCAAAAACAGACTGGCGCCCAGGCTCAAAACAGACTGGCGCCCAGCACAAAACAGACTGGCGCCCAGGCATCAAAACAGACTGGGCGCCCAGGCTCAAAACAGACTGGCGCCCAGGCTCAAAAACAGACTGGCGCCCAGGCTCAAAACAGACTGGCGCCCAGGCTCAAAACAGACTGGCGCCCAGGCTCAAAACAGACTGGCGCCCAGGCTCAAAACAGACTGGCACCCAGGCTCAAAACAGACTGGCGCCCAGGCTCAAAACAGACTGGCGCCCAGGCTCAAAACAGACTGGTGCCCAGGCTCAAAACAGACTGGCGCCCAAGGCTCAAAACAGACTGGCGCCCAGGCTCAAAACAGACTGGCGCCCAGGCTCAAAACAGACTGGCGCCCAGGCTCAAAACAGACTGGCGCCCAGGCTCAAAACAGACTGGCGCCCAAGCACAAAACAGACTGGCGCCCAGCACAAAACAGACTGGCGCCCAGGCTCAAAACAGACTGGCGCCCAGGCTCAAAACAGACTGGCGCCCAGGCTCAAAACAGACTGGCGCCCAGGCTCAAAACAGACTGGCGCCCAAGCACAAAACAGACTGGCACCCAAGCACAAAACAGACTGGTGCCCAAACTAAAAACAGACTGGCGCCCAGGCTCAAAACAGACTGGTGCCCAGGCTCTCATGGAAATACATAATAAAAAGTAATGTTGTTTTAAACCAATGCATAATGAGTTCATACAGATCTCTTTTCTGGAAGTAAAACATGTTATAGGAAGACATGGGAGCAATAACAGAAGAACAGTGTGCATTGCAAACTTTTCATATTTGATTTAGCTTCCTTCAAATGTTATCTTATAATGGACTCAAATTGATTTTTGCCCTACCAATCTACTCTACATTTTCAAAGTGAAAGAAAAATGAAAGAAAATGTTTCTAATTAATAACAAATAAAATATGTATTGATTGCGTATGTCTTCACACCAAAGAGTTAATACTTGGTGGAAGCACCTTGGGCGTGCGTGTGTGTATGTGTGCGCGTGCGTGTGTGAATTCTGTATGTTTGTGTGTGTTCTCTTACGCTAGCTTTAACACCATTGGGTCTGTCCAGTTCCCAAGTAGCTGTGCTGATGTTTCGTTCTGCAGGGGAGAATGGGGAGGTCCTGCCCGTCTGTAACACCTCCAGGAGGGCCGTCTTTCCCTGCCGAGGAGGACCAATCACAAGCAGCTTCAGCAGCTTACAGGGCTCCGCCTTCCGTAGGTGGGCTCGGAGAAAGGACAACACTGATGCTGGACCTGAAAGTGATAGATGTGATAGATGTTTAATACACACAGATGTGTACACACACACACACACACACACAAAAAACACACTTTACACACTGTGTGGTGGTACCATACCTTCTTTCCTGATGTCCTGGGGAACATTAGTGATGTTGAGGTCCTCAATGTCCAACTGCCACAGGTTAGAGAGCTGCCCCAACTCAGCTGGAAGCTCTCGAATACCTGGATTACTGTTCTCAGATCAGGGGAGAGAGAGATGGAGTTAGGTACTATACATACAGGATACCTGGGTTACTGTTCTCAGATCAGGGGAGAGAGTGATGGAGTTAGGTACTATACATACAGGATACCTGGGTTACTGTTCTCAGATCAGGGGAGAGAGGGAAAGGAACTGGAGGACCACTTTGATGGGTGAATGTTAATGTCACGTGTTTCCATCATATGATCTCTGAAAACATATAGGGGAATGCTAATGGGACAAAGTGTTTCTCATCCACAACATGTCCTGTTGCTATGTGAATAAGTGAACATAGAGAATGGAATAATGGGCCTGTTTCCTGGACACAGATTAAATCTGGAGGACTGACTAGGCATAATCTGTGCCCGGGAAACCAACCTTATTGTATAACTCCTAAGGTGAGACCGTAGCCTTTTTGCTCTGGATGAGATGAGAACTAACTCCATTCACTAGCCTAGCCAGGACTACAATGACCGTTATTACACAGGACTGGATAACAACAAAACAAAGTCTGAGTGGGAAAGATGATAACATTGAGGAAGCTGTTGATCTCCAGCTAAACCTCTAGATCACACTCTGGGCAACAACCAGCCTATATATAGTGCACTACTTTTGTCCAGGGCCCATGGGGACGCCCATAGGTCTCTGGTCAAAAGTAGTGCACTATGTAGGGAATAGGGTGCCGTTTGGGACAAAGCCCATGTATTCCTGTTGGAGCCTGCAGTCTGGTAGACTGTGAGAAGTAGACAGAGAACAGTGACCCTGCTGACCCACAGCCAGAACAGCAGGCAACAGCTGCCTCCAAACCAGTTCACAACAGTAAGGACTGGACAGGACAGCCAGAGAGTGGGGCTGCGTACCAATACTCTAAAATGCTTCCATTCCTTGTCTCCTTCCCTTTGTTATTACAACTGTGTGATGACAGGAATGGACAGATGACTACCTTATAGGTTTTCAGCTAGGTTGGTGACAATAAGATTTGGCAAGACAGCACAAATACATCTGAGACCACAAGGCTAGTTTTCAGCTGTTGTGTTCCACCTCAGTATGAGGAAGTTATGGAGGAAGGGGACAAGGAAAGAAGGCGAGCTAAGGCGATTGGGACCAAGCCTAGGGCATTTAAATTGGGATGGAAGAGCTTGGTGAGGAAAGTAGATGAGGAGACAAGAAAAGTATAGTCAGTCTATGGACTTAACTAGAGAAATAATGTGGTGAAAGAGCTGAGTGAGATCGATAAGAGAGGAAACAAGGAAAGGAGACAAGGAAAGGAGGCTAGTGTGATGAGCCTTGTGGCACTTACTTGGAGAGGTAGAGCTCCGTGAGGTTTCTCAGGCCACACACGGACTGGGGCACACACTCCAGCTGGTTGTCGTTCAAGGAAAGCACTTCCAACGTATCCCGCAAAATTACTGGAAACTCGATTGGGCATACTGACAAGCAGGGGAAAGGCACACACACACACACACACACACACACACACACACACACACACACACACACACGCGGTCAATGACCATCAGCAGTCACTGCAGGATCAGGATGTACAGTATTGGGTTACTAATTGCTGGAGCAGTCAGTGAAGGGGGGAGAGAGAAAGAGAGAGATGGAGGAAGAGAGAGAGAGAGAGAAAATAGAGAGATATGGAGGAAGAGCGAGGGAGAGAAAAGAGAGAGATATGGAGGGAGAGAGAGGGAGAGAAAAGAGAGAGAGATGGAGGAAGAGAGAGGGAGAGAAAAGAGAGAGATATGGAGGGAGAGAGAGAGAGAGAAAAGAGAGAGATATGGAGGGAGAGAGAGAGAGAGAAAAGAGAGAGATATGGAGGGAGAGAGAGGGAGAGAAAAGAGAGAGAGATGGAGGAAGAGAGAGGGAGAGAAAAGAGAGAGATATGGAGGGAGAGAGAGAGCACGACTGGCTTAAGAGTCTGTGTGGTCCAGATGACCATGATGAGAGGCATTTTTCTCCTATGACAGGGTGAAATAGAGGGGGTTCCAAACCACATGAGCAGGGGCTTAGGACCCAAATGTGACCAGTGGCCAGCATCGCTGCTTATTTAACTCTGTCCAGGCCACAACCGGCAGACTGAGAATCTGAACAGACAACCAACAAAGGAATTATTCTGCCACAGTCCCAGTCCAGTCCAGTCCAGTCTAGTCCAGTCCAGTCCTGGCTGTAATAGTCTGTTACAGACCACTTTAGATCAGTCCAGTCCAGTCAAGTTCACTACAGTTCATTACAAACCACTATAGATCAGTACAGACCACTATGGTTCAGTCCAATTCAGTCAAGTTCAAAAGTCCAGTCCATGACAGTCCACTAAAGTCACACTACAGTCAACAGCGCCAGTCCACATGAGTGCAGAACCAGTACCTGGGTCAGGGTCTCTTCGGTGCCATGTGGTCATGAAGGCCAGCTTCCTGGTTTTGGGTCCCTCCTCAGTCCTGAAACAAAGCGGTTCCAACTTCCATCACATTCATGCATTCTTGGTTGTATTGTCTATTGTTTACCATGTCGGTTGAAAAGTGCTGATCTAGAATCAGTTTTTCCTTTTAGATTATAATGAATAAGATTAGGGGCCTGAATAAGGAAAGGGCGGGACCTGATCCTAGATCTTGATGCATACAGCCCCAGGTTCCATACAGTCATTTGCCCCTTCCCCCAAGTCCTACCCCTTCTGTATTCTACAATATCAAATGACAGGTGAAGGTAGTAAAGTGTCCCTGAATAAGTGCTTCTACCATATTACTTTCACTAATCTATAGTACCCAAAGTTACTAACACCAAAAAGGTAAGGACTAGGGTAAGGAGGAAGCTAGAGTTAAACATGGAACCAGGCCTTGAAGTGAGTGGAAGACATGAAGAGTAAGAGGTTAAGGCCATGTCCAGAAACAACTCCTAGCCCCTTGACACTTGGAGATCTGAAAGAACTGGAATGGTTTAAGCAATAAGGTGAAACTCTGACCTAGCGTGTCAAAGGGAAAGGTGGAGCTTCTAACATACTGCTTATACCAGAGAGCGATATAGAGAGAGACCAGGTCTAGAGTTCTCTCCTTGGACTCACTATGTAGCACCTTCAGATGTCTAGGGGCTAGTAGTTGTTTCTGGACGGGTCGTAAGTGTGAGTGGTAAGATGTATAACCTATGACCTTTCACCTACTTGCCCAGCTGGTTCCTGGAGAGGTCAAGGGTTCTGAGCAGAGAGCATTTCCACTTGTTGGGTGCCGGGAGAGTGGAGATCTGATTCTTACACAGTCTGAGAGAGACCAGGGCCTGATAAAGAGAGTGAGCGGGAGAGAGAGAAAGAAAGGGAGAGAAAGGGGGAGGGAGGGAGAGAGAGAGAAAGAGACAGTGTCACCAAAGCATGGCCTGTGGTGATGATAACTTAACTCACATCTAGTGTCCCTGTTTACATTTTACATTACATTTTAGTCATTTAGCAGACGCTCTTATCCAGAGCGACTTACAGTTAGTGAGTGCATACATTATTTTTTAATTTTCATACTGGTCCCCCGTGGGAATCGAACCCACAACCCTGGCGTTGCAAACGCCATTCTCTACCAACTGAGCTACATCCCTGCCGGCCATTCCCTCCCCTACCCTGGACGACGCTGGGCCCAATTGTGGACCGCCCCATGGGTCTCCCGGTCGCAGCCGGCTACGACAGAGCCTGGATTCGAACCAGGATCTCTAGTGGCACAGCTAGCACTGCGATGCAGTGCCTTAGACCACTGCGCCACCCTGTCTACTGTTGCCATCATTCTCTCAATCTTCTGTTTCTCTTCCTCTATTCTATTCCTCACTCTTTCTCTTCCTCTTCTGCCACACATGTTTAGAAAGATTGAGAGGTAATGAAATCCACAATCTTGCAGTACTCATTCCTTTACAAACATTTGGAAAATTGCTTCATAAAGCCCATAGCATTCCTGAGGTAAATTAAACATTCCATTGTTCTCCTCGGAATTCAGGAGCCTAAAATAAACAAACGCTTAACATAAATTTCCATTCATCATTACTGTTATGCTAATATCTTTAAAACCTTATCAAGCGTACCATGACTCATCATCCTAAAGCTGAATCTTTGTTTCAGTAGGGGTTCACTGACTGCAGAGTAGTACAGCAGTGCCACCTTGAGGTCATTGGGAAAACTACAGGTTTAATACAGAAATCCTCACATCTTGTGAGTGGTTACTTAAAGGTTCAATATGCAGAAATCGCGCCGCCATTTCCTGGTCGCAGAAATTCTAATAGTTTGCGTAATTTCAGTTTATGTGACAAAACAATCCAACAATTAGTGTATAGAATCATTGTACCATCTAAACCGCTGTGAAATATATTTTCAATAACCCAAAATATTGTATTTTCAACTGTTTAAAGCTGGTGTACAAAACCGAAAGGAAAAGATACAAAAACTAAACGGAAAGCATAGAAATAGCGTACATAGAACTGATCTACTGCTTCTTAGACTTGCTTTCAATGAGTGACAGATCTATAACGCACATTTCTATGTGAATTTGGTCGGGTCGCCCATTTTTACGTATTGGTGGTCCTCTGTAGCTCAATTGGTAGAGCATGGCGCTTGTAACACCAGGGTAGTGGGTTCGATCCCCGGGACCACCCATACGTAAAAATGTATGTATGGATAAAAGCGTCTGCTAAATGGCATATTATATTCTTATAAATACAGTAAAGCTTATGGAGGTTTAGGGAGGTTTATTCAGGTTAGACCCATCAAGTCAACAAATCCAATGTTTCTAGCCAGGCCGCAAACGGAATCAGCCATGAACCACCATTTAGGAAACTATGCTCCCAGTGTTAAGGTACTTAGGCCTAGGCTTTAGCTCAGTGGGCTAACAGGGTTTTGAGCTACACATAATAGCCCAGGTATTGAACCTGTGATATGTACAGCTCAGACTGCCCAAGTATTGAACCTGAATGACAAGTGCAACTCAAAACACTGTTAGCCCACTGAGCTGAAGCTTAGGCCAAACCCTACCAGGGCTACCCATCCTTACCTCCAGCTGGAATATATAGGAGGGCAGCTCCTTGATGACGTTGTCCGAGAAATCCACCTCCTGCAGCTGAGTTCTCCAGAAGATGGAGATGGTATTGGGAAGACTCTCGATGGCGTTGGATGAGGCTCGACAGTGCTTCTACAGAGGGGGAAATCAATGACTCCCATCATCCAGAAGATGTTTCAAAACCATCACTCAAGTTCTCTGAATGCAAGTAGGCAAATGAGGTAGTGAAGCTTCCCTGAGAGGAGTCTGTATAATTTAAAAGACATGGCCACTTTCCATTTCAATACCTAATACCTTCTTACCTCTACCCCAACAACGGTCACAAATCTAAAAGGGCTGGATAGGCGTAAGCAACTAGTGTGATGGTTCTACCCAGCTCTCCAATGGAGTTTCCACCATATTTATTTCACCTATCCAGTCCTTTCAGAACTGAACATTTAAAAGGAGATACAGGAAGGTGCTAGGGGTCCAAAGGAACCAGGCCCTAGTTTGTTCCTACCAGGGGAACCATAGAGATACAACTAGTTCTATATCTATGAGACGAACACTAAACAGGGTAGGATCTAAAGGAAGGTGCTAGGGGTCCAAATGGAACCAGGCCATAATGTCTAGTGTAGTGTCTGTCTACCAGAGGGCAGGCCCAGGGGTCAGGGAAGCTGGTGAGTCTGTTCCGGCAGACTTTGAGGGACGTGAGGGATTTGAAAGAGTGCAGAACGGCAGAAGGAAGACTGGTCAGACAGTTATCAGACACATCCAGCTCCTCCAGCTTACGCAGACCTATCCAGTTAGTACCTGAGGAGAGAGCAGAAGAGGGTCAGCTTACGCAGACCTATCCAGTTAGTACCTGAGGAGAGAGCAGAAGAGGGTCAGCTTACGCAGACCTATCCAGTTAGTACCTGAGGAGAGAGCAGAAGAGGGACAATCTATAAAATTTCTATAAAACATTTTGTACAAGGTAGCAATACAATGTGCTTCACATGAACAAATAAAGAGAAAATAAACAGCAGAGAAACAATTGGAGATCATTAAAAATATAATACATTTTGGGCAAAGAGCAAAGACCACACTGACTTGCGTTGGATCATACCATTAGGAATGTCAAATAGGGAGGTGAGCTTGTTCTTAACAGCGGAGAGCTTTTGGACTCTGGTGAGATGGAGCAGTCCGGACGGCAGGCTGGTCAACTCATTCTGAGACAGATTCACCTGGCGAAGTCTACAGTAGGACAGTAGCAGAGAACAACACACACACATACACACACACAACACACACACACACACAACAGGGTCAGGATTAGGTGAGGTGGTGAGGCTAACAATACAACAGAGATCTGCAGAACAGCTACAGAGAGTAGATTCACTGAGTGGACAAAACATTAAGAACTCTCTACATGACATAGACTGACCAGGTGAAAGCTATGGTCCCTTATTGATGTCACTTGTTAAATCCACCTCAATTCAGTGTAGGGGAGGAGACAGGTTAAAGAAGGATCTTTAAGCCTTGAGACAATTGAGACATGGATTGCGTATGTGTGCCATTCAGAGGGTGAATGAGCAAGACAAAACATGTAAGTGCCTTTGAACGGGGTATGGTAGTAGGTGCCAGGCGCACCGCTTTAAGTGTGTCAAGAACTGCAACGCTGCTGGGTTTTCATGCTCAACAGTTTCCTGTGTGTATCAAGAATGGTCCATCACCCAAAGGACATCTAGCCAACTTGACACAACTGTGGGAAGCATTGGAGTCAACATGACAACTTGTAGAGTCCATGCCCCGACAAATTGAGGCTGTTCTGAGGGCAAAAGGGAGGGTGCAACTCAATATTAGGAAGGTGTTTCTAATGTTTGGTATACTCAGTGCATATGTGTGTGTACACTGTACACACTGCAGTGGACGTGTTTACTAGCCTAGAAGTCCCGACAAGAATAGTAAACTAACAAAAAGTTGACTAACTGGGGGCATTTTGTTAGTCAAATGATATTTCTAGGGAGTTTAAGGTTAAGTTTAGAATTAGTGTTGGGGTTAGAATTAGGTTTAGGAGCTATGGTTAGGGTTAGGTTTTCGGGTTAGGGAAAAATTGTATTTTGAATGGGAATGAATGTTGTGTTCCCACAAGGGGGTTGTGTGTGTGTGGGTTAGTGCGTGTGTGGGTGCTAGGAACACATTGGGATACATGACTTTACTGTAATAGAGAAGTTAACCTTTCCAACGATACCCTTTTTATGTCTCAACTACTCAAATTTCATGCAGAGCAGACACCACTAAAACGGGAGTAACAATGAACATTGATTCTGGAAAATTAATGCGGTACCGTTAGCAGCATTTTAGCCAAAGACTTAAACTGTCTGTCTAGTCTGTGTTTTATAAATGTGCAATGAGTATAAAACACAATTATATAAGGAATTGGCAACTCGTTCTCACTCTGAGAAATAAGGTAGGCCATTTGATTTTAACATCTAAACAAAGTGGACAGGCTAGCATACTGTTCAAACAATTGGAGACGGACAGAAGGGTGTGTTCATAACTAGCAAATAGATCCAAGTTGGCTAAACTTGAAATGTAAATATTAGCTGGCTACTCACTAGCACGTGGGCTTTTCTATAATGCCTGCTACAAGAAGTTAGCCATTATTAGTGAATGTGCATTATGCATGGGTTCTGGTTACATTTGTAACAAAAAGTGCATTTCCATAGACAGACTTGAAAGCCAGATCAGTGATTATTGCAATAAAGCAGGTAAAACTATATTGATAAAATAATTTAATTATTAGTGGGTCTTATGGTTGAAGGCTTATATTTAGCCTAGGTATAACTTCACAAGCCCTGAATTCATTAGATTATTGCTGACTGCAGTGTATTTGACCTTTAAATTGTACAACAAAGCTTATTTAGAGAAACCATTTTTTTTAAAATGGAGATATCGTGAATCATCCATAAATGTGAAAAAAATCTAGATATGATTTTACCGCCCAGCCCTAGTGTGTGTGTGTGTGTGTGTGTGTGTGTGTGTGTGTGTGTGTGTGTGTGTGTGTGAATGTTGTGTGTGGAGCAGCACCTTGAGCAGATGATCTCCTGTGAGCTTTGTGCTGTGGGCAGCTCTTTGAACAGGTTGTTGGAGAGGTCTAGGGTCTGGAGCTGTATGAGCCCCCAGGGAACCACGGAGGGCAGGGTGCTGAGGCTGTTACAGGACAGGTCCAGGTGGGAGATACGGGACGACACGTCCATGAACCAGTCCAGCTCCAACCACGGCAGCTTCAGACCTGACCAACGGCCACATAGTAGCTAGAGGGGGAGTGAGAAAACACAACATGTTGGCAGACATTTTCATAGTGCACAACACACAGACAGCGTCTGACCTGACCGACGCACTGGGGAAAGCATAACACATTCACAGAGAGAGAGAGAGACACACACACATAAATACAGATACACACACAATTCCCCTCAATCACCTTTTCTCCTGCTGGTCCTGTGTGTGTGTCTGCTTCTTCTACCAGTCGTTGTTCAAGGAGCAGTCTGCTGAAGGCAGGATAATCCATCAGGGTGTAGGAGGAGAACCCAGCACCATTCTGCAGCAGGAAACTAGCTATGTCCTCATTACCTAGACAGAACACAGTTAGATATCTGGATGTTCTGTAATGTTGCTCCTCCTGAACAGACCCCTGGTCTAAGATAACAGGAAGTGTTCCTCAGCTCTCCATCAATAGGCCCGGAGTAGGGTGAAGTTGCCCATAGACACTGATTTTGGGTCAGTTTAGCATTTTCCCCTCTAATGGTTAAGCGTATGATTGGGGGAGGGGAAGCTGATCCTAGATCTTAATGACCAGAATAAGGAAGTGAGTTGGATCGGAGGTGGAATCCGAGACACAGAGCAGAGTAGGAGGAAATCCCCGTCTGCTGTTGTCAGCCTGACAACACACCACAGTAGGAATGAATGTCTAAGTCTAACATTTGTTCCAAAGTGGCTAATATGTAAGCGTACATAAAATCTAATCAAATTCTATTGGTCGCATACACATATTTAGCAGATGTTATTGCGGGTGTAGCGAAATGCTGGTGTTCCTAGCTCCAACAGTGCAGTAATATCTAATAACGTGAGAAGTAACATATGTGTAAAAGCATCTTATAGTGCAAGCTTCTATACTTCTCTACTTTTGTGTGAGGCGTGTGTGTGTGTGGCTTATGTGTGAGGTATTTGTGGACTGTGTGCCTTTGTGTGTGTGTGTGTATGTGTGGCGTATGTGTGCATACGTACAGTACATGTGTGCATACGTACAGTTCATGTGTACTGTGTGTGTCTTGCCGTCTACCTGCGCGTGCAGCAGCATAGAGAGGCAGCCCCGTGATGACAGCAAACTCCTCGTTGTGGATGGCACAGTCCTCAGCGTCAGCATGGTAACCCTGCACCAACATTCTAACCACCTCCAGGTGACCCTGTTGGCACGCCGACACCAACATCCAGTTCAGCAGATCTCTGTGGACACACGGACCTGAGAGAGACATGCAATCTGTTTATCATCTATTAACTATGACTAACACACACACACACACACACACACACACACACAGACAGACCCCCCACACACCCACCCACCCACTTTCAAAACAATTCATGCAATCTGTTACTATCTATTAACTACTACAACTACACACAGGTGGAAAATATCTCACATGCACGCACAACATTGTCACCTGGTACTGAGTCGAGCAGCTCTCTGACCAGGCTGACATGTCCATAGTGGGCAGCAAGGACGGCGGGGTTTCCCTCCGACGGCTCCAGGGGCAGGGGCACACGGGCCTCATGGAGGAGGTAACTTACACTCTCCGCATCACCATGCTGGGTGGCCACACACAGGAGACGCAGCTGAGGAAGGGACGGGGACAGGACAGGGAGGGAATAGGACAAGTTAGTATTATAGAAGACAGTCAAGTTTTGTTCAAGTCCACCTCTCCCATAGCCTCCACCTTAGGAGTGCTGTAGCCAACTCTTCGATCATTGTCATGCCATACAGTTGGGAGCAGGGGGCAATTTAATTTCAATCACAGTCAATCCAGGAAGTACACTAGCATTCCAATTCCCATTCCCTTCAATGTTTTTCAATGAGGAACATTTGGAATTGGAATTTGGTGTACTTTCTGAATTGATTGGAATTGATATGGAATTGAACCCAACCCTGGTTGGGAGCATTTAAAAGTTACCATGTACTGCAGCCAGTGTTGCCAATTTAGCAATTTTGTCGCTATATTTAGCTAGTTTTCCAGCTGCCTTTTGGGGAGTTTTGACACCAAGAGTTTCTATAGTTTTGATAGTATTTAACGACTTTTCCCACTCAATTCTGCCGCAAGTTGGTGCTGTGACGTCGTCGCAGCAATGGCAAAATGTCATCTAGCGACAAATCAAGGAGCTAATTCTCACTGAAAATGTGTTGGTAACACTGACTGCAGCCAGGTAAAAACATGAGCTTCAAAGTTGATGTAACGGCACTATCAGGTGGGCAATCAACGATGTACGACCAATAGAAGAGTTGGTCACAGCACATCCAGTATGGAACGAGGCTACCTCTACAACACCTGGATAAGGTGTCAGTGCTTGGCTGAAATAGAATTAGGGCGGTCCCCGACAAAGAAAGTTGTCTGTTCCAATCGATTCGCCAACATTTTTAGATGTGTATTTTTCCATATATAGACACACCCTATGTGTTTTAATAAAATCAACTATATGTATTGAGCTTGTCTGATGCTTTAAGCTTCCGGTTTGATGAAATAAGACAAATGCCTCAAGAGGGTGCCAGAGATCTAGATAACCAGAAGAAAAAAACTTTAACCTGACCCAACTATTCTCCTTCCGCTCCTGCTGGCTTTCGCAGATTCTGCCATTACTCTCTTGAAGTTGCCGGTAATAGGCTACAGGAGGAGTAGGCAACCTTTCTCATGTGGAATGCCAATTTATCTTACCATTCCTACCGATCTGCGTGCCAGTTATGGTTTTCATATGCACATTTTTGTGAAACAGTTTCATTTAATTTAAAATAACGTCTTCATATCTCAAAATCATTGTCATGTGGTTAATCAAAATTCTATCCAAATGAAAATTATACAAACCTAAAAAGTAACTTCTATTGCCATCGCCAACTATGTAAAAATAGCCTACATAAAGCCAACAAATAAAAACATTGCACCCTGCAGGTAGAAAATATCCTCATAAAAATAAATATCCTATAAATCACTTGGCTACACATGGCCTGTCTGAAACTAACTTGAAACATTGTATCAACTATTAACTTGGGTCTGGCCCAAAGATTGGGCTAGCAAACTTGCAACATTGTATAAAATATTCTGGGCCCTCAGAGTTTCCCTCGGGACAGACACAGCTGTAGGCTATTTTCGCAAGGGATTAGAAGCAGTGCTTGACTAGGGCAGGAACTCACAAGAACCTCAAATTTGCTACTGCTTGAGCTCCTGTTCCTCTTATAGAATATTAGCTCAAAAGTATTGCGGAGCTCATGCACCTAAATATAAACAGTACCAGCACCCAAAATGAGTACCGGAATCTTTTTCAGTCCAAGTCAAGCACTGATAAGAAGTTATCAGGTAGGCCTATGTTATAACGTTTCCACTGGATCAGAGCGTGACATTTTTCCGTTTCACGCTGAGTAGTTATCGAAAGGGAGAGAGCTGGAAAGATTTTTCAAATACATTGAGGAACTATTGTAATTCTCAATGGATGTAAAAACAGACTTTGTTTGCTTGCTGTTTGAAGTGAAGAAAACATTACTTTGAGAAGCTCCACAGGTCATTAGTGGTGGTGCGTTAAGCCAATCAGAAATACTATCAGATCCCCAAATGGGCACATTTATATACATTTGCATGCCGGCCAGGTAGCCTATTGTCCTACTTCTAGCGTGCGCGTCCTTACTCAACACTGACAGGAGCGCTCGAAACAAAATACAATTACTAAATAGACAAAACTCATAAATGGAATGAAATAAACCAAAACATGTTTCTTACAAGTGTAGCATAGCTGCAAACAATGTACAAATAAAGAAAAACCCTTGAATGAGTAGGTGTGTCCAAACCTTTGACTGGTAGTGTGTGTATATATATATATATATATATATATATACACACACACACACACACACACACATACATACAGTGGGGAGAACAAGTATTTGATACACTGCCGATTTTGCAGGTTTTCCTACTTACAAAGCATGTAGAGGTCTGTCATTTTTATCATAGGTACACTTCAACTGTGAGAGACGGAATCTAAAACAAGAATCCAGAAAATCACATTGTATGATTTTTAAGTAATTCATTTGCATTTTATTGCATGACATAAGTATTTGATGCATCAGAAAAGCAGAACTTAATATTTGGTACAGAAACCTTTGTTTGCAATTACAGAGATCATACGTTTCCTGTAGGTCTTGACCAGGTTTGCACACACTGCAGCAGGGATTTTGGCCCACTCCTCCATACAGACCTTCTCCAGATCCTTCAGGTTTCGGGGCTGTCGCTGGGCATTACGGACTTTCAGCTCCCTCCAAAGATTTTCTATTGGGTTCAGGTCTGGAGACTGGCTAGGCCACTCCAGGACCTTGAGATGCTTCTTACGGAGCCACTCCTTAGTTGCCCTGGCTGTGTGTTTTGGGTCGTTGTCATGATGGAAGACCCAGCCACGACCCATCTTCAATTCTCTTACTGAGGGAAGGAGGTTATTGGCCAAGATCTCGCGATACATGGCCCCATCCATCCTCCCCTCAATACGGTGCAGTCGTCCTGTCCCCTTTGCAGAAAAGCATCCCCAAAGAATGATGTTTCCACCTCCATGCTTCACGGTTGGGATGGTGTTCTTGGGGTTGTACTCATCCTTCTTCTTCCCCCAAACACGGCGAGTGGAGTCTATTTTTGTCTCATCAGACCACATGACCTTCTCCCATTCCTCCTCTGGATCATCCAGATGGTCATTGGCAAACTTCAGACGGGCCTGGACATGCGCTGGCTTGAGCAGGGGGACCTTGCGTGCGCTGCAGGATTTTAATCCATGACGGCGTAGTGTGTTACTAATGGTTCTCTTTGAGACTGTGGTCCCAGCTCTCTTCAGGTCATTGACCAGGTCCTGCCGTGTAGTTCTGGGCTGATCCCTCACCTTCCTCATGATCATTGATGCCCCACGAGGTGAGATCTTGCATGGAGCCCCAGACCGAGGGTGATTGACCGTCATCTTGAACTTCTTCCATTTTCTAATAATTGCGCCAACAGTTGTTGCCTTCTCACCAAGCTGCTTGCCTATTGTCCTGTAGCCCATCCCAGCCTTGTGCAGGTCTACAATTTTATCCCTGATGTCCTTACACAGCTCGCTGGTCTTGGCCATTGTGGAGAGGTTGGAGTCTGTTTGATTGAGTGTGTGGACAGGTGTCTTTTATACAGGTAACGAGTTCAAACAGGTGCAGTTAATACAAATAATGAGTGGAGAACAGGAGGGCTTCTTAAAGAAAAACTAACAGGGCTGTGAGAGCCGGAATTCTTACTGGTTGGTAGGTGATCAAATACTTAAGTCGTGCAATAAAATGCAAATTAATTACTTAAAAATCATACAATGTGACTTTCTGGATTTGTCTTAGATTCCGTCTCTCACAGTTGAAGTGTACCTATGATAAAAATTACAGACCTCTACATGCTTTGTAAGTAGGAAAACCAGCAAAATCGGCAGTGTATCAAATACTTGTCTCCCCACTGTGTGTGTGTGTGTGTGTGTGTGTATATATATATATATTAGTTCCAGCTAGCTGCAACTAAATGGACGCTGTGGTATGGCTAATCATCCTGAGCTAGGCCCATCTCCCGGCTATCTACCTCTCTGTCAACCGGACGGGACCACCTAGTGTTGACACGGAGCCCCGCCGATCCTACACGACTTGTCTGCCGACGAAATCGTCTGATGTGGTTACGACGACGTCGACCACGAAGATTCCATCTGCTAGCACGGGCCCGCTAGCACACGCTAGCCGTGGCCTCTTACTTGCTAATGCTTTAGCAGCCTCCGAACTATCCTATTGCTGTTCACCGGACCTTATGATAACTCAGCTATACAGCTGATGTCTGCTGGACTGTTCCTTTTTACGGTACTACATCCTGTTTATGTTTAGCCTCGGCCCAAACATGGTTAGCTTATTGTTGTTTCGGTTATTTCTAATTGTACTATTTCTCTGTAGATAACCCAGCCCAGCTAAACCTGCCTTAGATAGCTCCTTTGTCCCACCCCCCATACATGCAGAGACCGACTCAATTGGTGCCTCTAGTGATACTATCTCTTTCATTGTTACCCAACGCTTAGGTTTACCCCCACTTTACTCATATCCTTCCATATCCTTGTCTGTACATAATGCCCTGAATCTTTTCTACAACACCCGGAAATCTGCCCCCTTTATTCTATGTACCCAACGCACTAGAAGACCAGTTCTTAAAGCCTTTAGCCGTATCCTTATTCTAGTCCTCCTCTGTTCCTCTGGTGATGTAGAGGCTAACCCAGGCCCTGCAGCCCTCAGTATCACTCCTACTCCACAGGCGCTATCATTTGCTGACTTCTGTAATCGCAAAAGTATTGGTTTCTTGCACATAAATATCAGAAGTCTACTTCCTAAGTTTGAGTTATTCACTGCGTTAGCACACTCCGCCAACCCTGATGTTCTAGCAGTGTCTGAATCCTGGCTCAGGAAGGCCACCAAAAATTCTGAAATTTCCATCCCCAACTATAACATTTTCCGTCTAGATAGAACTGCCAAAGGGGGTGGAGTTGCAATCTACTGTAGAGATAGCCTGCAGATCTCTATCATACTATCCAGGTCTGTGCCCAAACAGT